ATGAAGGGTTGCCTCTATCCATAAGGTTATCCTTATCCATAAAATAATGTAACCGCCACTAGGCCAAAGGGATGTGTCCCTTCACGGAATTAGAATATTGGTTCGGTCGGTCTAATCCCCAACTGGTTAGTCTGTCCAACCCAAAACCGATTTGACTTGGTTAGTCCGGTTCAACCAAATTTCCACCATCTTTAACCACATAATAACTTGTAATGCTCCCATGCCATATAAACTTGTCGACTCCCCCATGCCCATGTAATGGTATCTAAAGAATAGTACTCGAGACTTCAATCGGGAAACAACTCTCTATAAGTGGAATATTCCACAGTTTAGTGTCAGGGTCAATGAGCTCACTCACTATAGAACCCACCAAAAACATGTGTGTTATTGAAGGGATGTGTAGCTCCTGGATAGAAGACACCCAACGATCACATCGAAATATTTGGAACGAAACTCTTAAGTGTTAAGCATGCTACGACATATGAAGCTAAAATGATAATCCACCCTTGTATCCAAGATACACAACCAAGTTTTTGATACTTTGCTCTAAGAATGCATGCATCAAATGATTGTGGGCGCTGATAGAGGCTCCAAAGTTTCTTAGCTACGAGCACCATATTAAATCCTCAAAGATACCCCACCACAAGTTCATAATGAGGCGGTACACTTCATCAAGAATACCTTCCTAAACTTTGAACACAAATATTGCATAGGTTAAATGCTTCTATGCTAATGATTTAGTCAAAACTTCTCTTGCTACAACATATAACACCTTCTCCTTTCAATCATTCAACTCTTTATGTTAAGCTCAGTGAACAACTCTTTCTTTGACCTTCCAACCACTGTATCACGTCCCAAATAATTATCACAGTTATCCACCATCTCCATTATGAGAATGCCAGTACTTCCAGTTTTCTGCGCGACTTCAATTCTCACTAAATGACAGTTCTGACTTTTGAAAACTAATGCCAACAAAAAAATGTGACAGCAATGGTTCTCCCTTTGTCGGCTACAAACTATAGAGGTGATTTTTCGGGACGGCTAGAGATGTGTACACTGAGAGCCCCTTTGTACATAGCAAAAAAAATGTATGGTGATAGGGGGTCTCTCTTATGCATACCCCATCCTAAATTAAAACATTGTGATTGATGATCATTCAGTAGAACTAAACAAAAGATCGTTTGAACACACATCATAAATAGTTGGCCCCAACGTTCAACAAAGCCCATCATTGTCATAAAACCTTCCATAAATGCCATTCAACCAAGTCATAAGCGTTGGACATATCCATTTCGACCCCAAAGTATCACACACTTCCTTTAGTCTTCTTTTTCATTGTGTTGAAATATTCTAACGCATCCATTATATTGTCTATAATGAAACAATTGCGGACATAAGCACCTTGCGCTCAAGAGATGGACCGATCAACACGAATTATGTAAAACTTCATTGTAAGCCGATAAAATTCATTTATGAACTACATCCAAAACCAACATTGTCTCTGAAATTTGTCATGATGCAAGCAAGTTGCTAAATTAGTCAACCATGCACTGGAAAATTTGTATTACTATTACCACAACAAGATCACTATGTTCCTAAGTAGCAATACTCAATACTAATAGAAATTGTAGTACCACCTGCAATCAATTACCAAACTTTATCAATGAGAACACCATTAGCTTCAAGATAAACACCCACTTTGGTAGCCAAACTCATCCATTTTCTTGTGAATTGTCCGTAGAGAAGGGTGTTAAAATCAAACTAGCCACTCACACCCTAACTACTCTTCCTTTGGTAACAACTTCAAGGGCAAATCAGTAAACCCTCAGGCAAACAGAAATTGCACAATTATCGAGTTCTAGAGCCCGAATCCCTACTCCCCATCACCTTCAAAATATCATATTGTCGTTAACATTTCAAGACCATCCTTCGAATACCCACACACAAATAGTCATAAATAAGAATCGAAATAAAATTAGCCCATCACACACCCATAAAAACATTAATCCCATAATTCCTTTCCTATGTACAATCTGGAGAATCGCAAGCAGTGAAGGATCACCAAAAATTGCCCAACCAAACTATGTTGCCACCACTTATAACATCCCTAACCTTTTCCGAACAATATATTGTCCGCTTTAAGCCATTTTAGTGCTCGACAATGACCGTGTTTAATTTCGAAGTTCTTACAAGAACTCCTCGATTTCACCACCAAACGTGTCTCATCAGGTCGATTTCCTACATAAACACCATAAGTCTCTCTCGTACTTTGTCGATGTGAGATTCACCTAACGTATTACACTTATTTCGTTATTTGATTCCAAAACAAATCATCCCTTCTTTCATCGAAAATTTAGAAGATGTCGCGTTATCGCTCACCAGATTCTCCACCACCATTCACTCCCCTTTCACCAATAAACAGTAACATGTGGCGGAATACATACTGTATATTTGCAACTTCCGAATCTTTTTCTTTTCTCGTCGTGTCAAAGCATCTGCCGCCTCTGCGGTCTGCCTAATTCAATCGCCTTTAATAGCCGCAGTAGTCCAGACTCCAGACTCCAGTCTAGTTCCTCTCAAATCAATCCCCAAAATCTCGAAAATAAATAATAATCATAGTAAATAATGAATATACTTTTCCCTTTCCGGTTCCCATAAATTTCAATATACACAATGATGCCACCGATCTTTCTCAAAACAATTAATTAATAACATATATTAAATTGGAAGATTTCCATTTCTCCCATCCCTATTTCTCAGATTCCACCCCCACTTTCCTTCACCTCTCACCCACCGCCAGTGCAGGAGGGGAAAAGAAAATAAAAAATCTCTCCGCCAAGGTTCATTCTGCTCTCACTCGCCGACTCCGCAGCTCTCCGCGGAGGAGGTGGAGTAGGAGTAACAGAAGGAAGGAGGAGAAGAAAGATCTGCACTCTTCTGTTCTTCTATCAGCAGGCAGCTGATTCCCCGCTTCCACGCCACTCTCGCCTTCCTTCCCCCCCCCCCCCCCCCCCCCCCCCCCCGGCTAATCTCCTTCCATATTCTCCGGTACGTACAATTGCTCTTACCGATTCTTCTCTCTACAAGCTTCCATCTCTTCCGTTTCTGCCGATTTTAATTAGCAATTCGATCTCTTCCGCCTGCGCTGAGCTGAGCTGGTACGGCGAAGCCTCTGGCAGCTTCGTTTTCGAATCGCCGCCTGCTACTTCTTTCTTACCTTGTTTTGAAAATTTTGAACGATTATCCAATGGTACTTCCTGTTTAGAGATTTTCCTGTTCTCGAGGAGGTTCGGTTCGGGTGCATCGCGTTTCGAAACCGTCGTTCGTTCCTGTGGGAAGAGGCGAAAGGGTAAAAGTGGTTAGTTACAGGATTAGTATTAATTGGAGTTCTTATTCATTGAAATAATCTCGTCGCTGTGGAATTCTGGCATCGATAGTGCATCGTTGACCAATATTTTGACGGTACCGAGTCGTATACTCTTATCCTGAAGCTACAAAAGTGCACTACGTCTCTGTTTCTTTATTGTTATGAATACGTCTACATGTACAAAAGTAGGTGGTGTCGGTCATTCTCCTCATTCTTTTGGTACTATATTGTAATTTCCCTTCTTGTGTAGTATATGGCAATTTCGAGTAAAAAGGACAAAGCCTGGGAGAACTTGATATGATTGGAGAGCTGACCGTTTCAGCTTTCAACAGTTGATTCGTGATGATTTTTGTTCACGTCAGATCCCTGATATTTCTCTTTTAAACACCAAGTCCCGTATAATTTTGGCTTTAGGTATTACGTATTAGACAAAAAGTGATCCTAATTATCGCGTATCCTTTGTTCGTTTTTCTGGTCACCGTATCTTTGTTCGCCGAATAGCAGAAAAATATGTATTTTTCTCTCTCAGTATAATAAAAAAAAAAAATTCCGTTGAATATAATCAACGAAAAATATAATCAATTTATTTTTAAATAAAGAATATTTATAGTTTTGCGTCTCTTAATGACAAATTATTCAGCCTATTTTGTCTATTTGCTATCAAGTTGGGTTTTTGTGTTTGGAAGTTGCTACCGTGTTAGTTGTGTATTGGGTGATCAATTCATGGCTGTCTGTCACTTGTAATTTGTAAATATGCTGTTGTTACTTATATCTAGGGCCGCGGCCGTTGTTGTCTATGGCTGCCTTAAGTGGGTTCTACTACTAACAAATAAAAACAAAGTTACTTTTAGTTTTCTGTCCTTTTTTGTTTTTTAATTTTTGCTTTTATGGTAGGTCTGTTAAATTTCAGTCAACTCAAAAGTGTATCAACGAGTCCGTATTTTGTACAGAAAAAAAGTTCTAATTGTAAATTTATTTTCTTTAATATAATACTTACTGAAATGTAAAACAATGTTCCCTTCTGGTTCTGGTTACTAGATTAAGAAAAAGTGAAAACTAATGAAGTCTTTGTTCTCCACATCCTTGGAAATGTGTTTTAAGAATCTTTACTACGGATTGATTTTGTTGAACACTTGTTTTTTTTTTCTCTCAATAAGATCAATGGGTTAATATAAAAAAAAAACAATATAAAAATGAATAGGAGGGTTCTATAAACTAAAGGTGGGAGTTGAGTGAAAACATAATCATCTCTAGATCTTTGACAGATAGAGAATGCCAGAAAGGTGGTCCTTTTTATAGAATCCAGATTTATTGATTACCAACCTGCGAATACCATAATGCCATGCGCAATCTAGACCTAACCTCACCCCACGACCCCATAAGCTGTACCAATGTGCTTCAATAATTGAAGAGAAAGGGACATTGGCTTACTTGTTTCACCCTTTAATCATTCAACTGATGAACATTAGCTCTGATAAATGGCTAACATCATTGCTGATACTTGCTTGGTATGTATGACATACCTTTCCTTTTTCTTTCTCTTGATACGAGCATATTAAGAATTCTTTTTTTCGATATAAGATGTACGGTTTATCGATATTAAAACGCTAAAATTTATTGCTTGTTTGTTCCCCTTTATTTCCATCGACGTTGGAGAAGTGCAGCTGCTATTTTGAGACGTTTTCATCTTCTGTGATTCTTCAAGTTGTGTTTGTCTGTCTGTCCATTGGAAACTTGTTTCGATTTCTTCTCCCGTGAGGCCATAGCATCAATTTTCATTTCGGTGGCAGAACGGATAGTGATACTACTGGGACGAGAAAAGAATGTACTAGTAGAGAGAAGAGAACCAACCAAAATGCATTTATTCCCCTTCCTTATCCTCTTCTTCTTCCCTTCTTCCATCACCAATTCCTCGGATTCCAAATTTCACGTTCCCCCAAATGCATCACCATTATTAATGAAGGTTTTCTCCCCATACCTACAGCTCATTTTGCCTACTTTTCCCTTTTTTAGCTTCTATCTAGCCTTGGCTCTTATTTATGGGTGGTTGTCCTCACCTTCAAATACAGAAGTAGAAGATAGAACACTCTTGCTGTCTCACTGACTCACTGTCCATGTCACATTTACGTTCCGTGTCTGGCTGGGTATTATTAAGATTGTTTGGACGCGAAGAGGTGGTGCAATATACACTACAGAAAGTCCATAGGATTTACGTACTTGAATGACTCGTGTTCGTATTCAGGGGCAGCCCTTTTTTCTGGGGCGTTTTTTTTCTTCCTCCTCCTCTGGTTGTCTCCTTCTCTTCTTTCTTATGTTTGGTAGTCAGCATTTATGTTTGTCCGTACGTCCCCTCTCGTTTTCGTCGTTTCTACTGGGACCGTCTTCTTGTTTTTCCGCCATCTTTGGGGTTGTCCTGAATCCTGATGGCTACAGAGGTTGTTGTTGAGGTCTGAACGTGGGCTCCGCTCTTTGAGTGGTTGGAAATGTCAAGTGGAGCTCTTTGTCAGCGGACACGGTGGACTTGTTTACGCCATGTGATAAGAAAACACCAAAACCAAAAAACCATTCAAGTTTAACAACCCATCCCTATTCCCTACCTACCCAAACTTTACACTTCCCAGTTGGTTATATACTTCCCAGATGGTTAGCGTGTGAGCTTTTATTCTAAGGTATACTTGTATTGTATATATGAAAATGTCTTGTTATGGTTTCAAATTAAATAAGTAATATATCTCTGCTGATTTCGATCATGTGTCGATTTGGGGTTTAGGTGTTTGGTGAAGGAAGGAGAGAGCCCAAGCTTTTAAGGAAGCAGGGTGCTGACTGACTTCCAAGTTGTTTGTGGCGATGGCGGGGGAAGAGATAAACCAGAAGCTTTTGACCAAAACTGTCGAGGCAGAAGGCGAGGAAGTACCCTTGAAGTCCAAGATATGGACGGAGACCAAGAAGATGTGGGTTGTGGCTGCCCCAGCTACCTTCACCAGGTTCTCCACCTTCGGCATCAATGTCGTCAGTCAGGCTTTCATTGGCCATATTGGGTCAACTGAACTCGCTGCTTATTCCCTTGTCTTCACTGTCCTCTTGAGATTCGCTAATGGCGTCCTGGTGAGCATCTCTCTCTTTTTTCCCCCTTCTATCTGCTGTTCTGTGTCTCCCACGGTCAAGTTTCTGACTGGTCATGGGTTTTATGCGTTGCAGCTGGGCATGGCTAGTGCTTTGGAAACTCTTTGTGGGCAATCATTCGGGGCGAAGCAGTACCACATGCTGGGAGTTTACCTGCAGAGATCGTGGATTGTTTTGATCATGTGCGCAATTCTGATGCTTCCGATATTCGTCTTCACTACTCCGCTCCTGGAGCTATTGGGCCAAGAGGCTTACATCGCTGAGGTTGGGGGAACTATTTCACTATGGTTGATCCCAGTGATGTTCTCCTCCATCGCTTCCTACACCTGCCAGATGTTCCTTCAGGCACAGAGCAAGAACGTGCTCATTGCATATTTGGCTGCAGCTTCCATGACCATCCACTTGTTCCTTTCCTGGCTGTGGACCATAAAGTACAGGTATGGGATCCCAGGAGCAATGATATCCACGATTCTGGCTTATTGGATCCCCAATATAGGTCAGCTGTTCTTTGTTACTTGTGGTGGCTGCCGTGAAACGTGGAAGGGTTTCTCGTTCTTGGCGTTCAAGGATCTGTGGCCTGTTGTGAAGCTCTCTGTTTCATCTGGGGCTATGCTTTGGTACGTTTCTTGTTTCCATTTTCGTCCACTGCTATCGTCTTTAGATACTTTTGGTTTCATGCTGCAATCTTCATCTTGAATAATGAATCTTGTTTATTTGACCACAGCCTTGAGCTTTGGTACAACACAGTGCTAGTGCTTTTGACAGGTAACATGGAGAATGCCGAGGTTGCTATTGATGCTCTTTCTATCTGGTAGTTCTCTGCTCAAGATTTCTGCTCTCCCGTACTTCTTTCGTGTTTGTGGTTATGCCTGGCTAGAAATGGCTCTCTTAAATTGGTTTTTTGGTTGCAGCCTCAACATCAATGGATGGGAGATGATGATCTCACTTGGTTTCTTAGCAGCTGCCAGGTATGTTTCATCACCGAAACGCCTATCTTAATGCAACCCTTTCGATTTTCGAAGTGGAAATTCATCGATCCCGGTTATTGAATGTGTGATGCTTCAGTGTGAGGGTGTCGAATGAGCTTGGGAGGGGCAACGCCAAAGGTGCCAAGTTCGCTATTCTGGTGACGGTTGCAACATCATTCCTCCTTGGGGTCCTGCTATTCCTCGTTTTCCTGTTCTTGAGAGGGAAGATTGCTTACCTGTTTACGGAGAACCTTGAGGTCGTCCATGCTGTCTCTGATCTCTCACCGCTACTGGCCTGCTCCATTCTCCTCAACAGCATTCAACCAGTTCTCTCCGGTGAATTCCCCAGAGACTTGCCACTGCTGATGAATAAGCTAGTAAATATTTTTAAGCTAAAACGAACTAACGTGCATCCCTTGTGGACAAACAAACAGGTGTTGCTCTTGGAGCTGGATGGCAGAGCATCGTTGCATACGTCAACATAGCTTGCTATTACCTTGTTGGTATCCCAGTTGGAGTTGTTCTTGGATATGTGTTTGGCATGCAAGTTAAAGTAAGAAACCTTCTCTACTTGGGGACCTTCCTTACCCTCCACTTTCAGAACTCTACTCTTTTTCTTCGTGGAATGTCAAATTCACACTATCAAATTCCCAGGGTGTCTGGATCGGGATGCTGTTTGGAACATTCATCCAAACCATCATTCTCGTCGTGATCACCTACAGAACTGACTGGGACAAACAGGTATGCTAATCCCCGATTCGATGTGTGTTTCGGCTCATAAAATCTGTATCTAAGCCTGATTAACCAATCCTTTTTCACTTTTGATGATCTGCAGGTTGTTCTTGCTCGTAACCGTGTCAACAGATGGTACAAACCAGCAGCAGAACCTGAGGAGCAAAGTTTGGTGTCTTCCTAGGTTTCCACTAGCAGTAGCAACTTAGATTCTTTTGTGTGCAAATTCACCTGATATAGTCCAAGCCTCTCTTTTCCCTTCCATCCGAAATCCCCCCTTTTGTTACTGCAGTTAGAAAGATCTGCAGAGTAGTAGTATCTCCATTTCCCATTAATGACAAAAATTGTGTATCATCTCCTAATGTTTACAGTAATGCCAGTTTCTCTTCCCACAGTCTCAATTCTATGTCACAGATGTTAACACAACAGAATGAAAGAAAAACAATTGCTCTAATCAACTTCACTGTTCACCAAAAGTTCTTAGGCGTGTGTATATGATGCCTAGACCCTCCACCACCACGGCCACCTCTATGAGTATCAGTAACAGCAAACCGCGAGTATCTCCTCGCCCTGTTTATCTTCATCCTCACGCCTGGAACCTTCCTCCCCACGGCCTGCCATATCATTTGTACAGCATCGCCTTCCACAGAAGGGTACTGGAACTGGAAGAAATGCTCGACTTCCTTCAACCTCGTCCACATTCTCGTCCACTCTTCCTTCTTGATGCTCCTGATGAAGTTGATCAAGAACTTGTCCTTCACCGCGTCGGAGGTCTTGACAAACACGCAGAACTCGGAGTAGTCCAGGACGTCCTCGTAGGGGAGCTCGATCTCGTCGCTGATGATCACGGGGACGCAGTGGCTGGCGATGGCGTCGAAGAGGCGGTTCGACGAGGGTGTGTCCCCGGCTATGTTGAGGCAGAACTTGGATGAGTGCATGCCTCGGGAGGCCTTGTGGATGCCGTCTTTCTTCACGCTGCCGAACTGGAAGTGCACGTCTTTTTCGTCCTTGAGTAGGTAGAACAGCTCTTGCCTAGCCAGTCCACCCTGCACAGCATTTTAACCAAACACATAGTGAATTTCCTTTCTTACTTGGGTTGGGGATGACATTTTCGTTCCCCATTCAAGTGCTGCAGAAGAGCATACACCTTTCCTGTAAATGGGGGGAAAGGAAATGGAAGATCAACTTACATCTTTCCTGTAAATGGCACCCTGGAAGTAGAGCAGAGTTGGTCTGGTGTCATACTCCGAGCTATCATTGACATAGCTCTTAATGATATGCTTGTAAGGCGCAATCACATCCTTGTCCACATTCGCCACATTGGGCGGATACCTGCCGAAATCCGACAACACAAACATCGCCGGCCACAGCTTCATCCTTGCGCTCAGCATACTATTCGGGTGGTGAGCCATCACCAGATGATCCCTCCCGCCGGACCTTTTCCACTCCGGCTGTGAAGTGAGGTACTTCACCACTTTGTCCTGCAACTCATTGTTCCTGCTCTTCTTCTGGTGCGGGTTCAGCTTCGAGTACCGGTTGTAGCTCAGGGAAGAGAAGAAGGGCACGAATATGATGTCGGCTTCGCTTGAATTCCGGACTCGAATTGCACTACCGGCTCGAGGAATCTGAGGGACTTCAGAAGCCAGAAGGTCCAATGTAAGCCAGTACTCGATACTGTGCTGTAGATTGAGTCCGCCTGGGTAACCGGGTATGTGGGTTTTTATGTCCGGCCATACCCGACCCGGTTCAGGCTTCCAACCCAATAGCTCGAAGTGGAACTCTGGAGGCATATCGTACATGAAAACCTTCAATTGTGGTTGTTGCTGCTGCGGTTTGGTGTTGACGAGGCTTCTTTCGCCATTGCAATTCACATCAACATTGACACTAGTAGCTCTGGTTTCGGGTCTTGTTACTGCTGCTGCTGCTATGGGCTTATCATCATTCACGGGCTTGGGTCCGGCGTCAAGATTGGCGGTGGTGGCGGCGACGATGTTGTTGATTTTTTCTGGTTTTGTGGGCTCGGTGTCGTCGACGAGGATTGCGCGAGTCCTGGTGGAGATGGAGCTGGGAGTGGAGAGCTGTTGCTGAATGGGGATGTCGCTTTTAACGACGGAGAGAGTGGTGACCGTCGGTAAAAATGCGCGGTCGAGGAAGCTTGGGCGGGCGGTGGAGGAGCGGAGGACGAAGAACCATGAGAGCATGAGCACGGCGGAGACAAACGGGAATACGCAGAATAGGAGCTTTCTCGCGGCGAACCCAATTGACGAGCCCCCGTGTCTGTATTCGCCCATCGGAAAGGGGGGAATGAATAAAAGCACCCCTAATATTGCAATCTCCGGAAGAAGACGACGGCCGGTTATTTCCCTCCGGCGAGCTGAAAAATTCTCTCAGACGAAAATTCAATGGCGTTCCAGTGAACCAACACGGGAAACCAACGGAAACCCAGATTGCAGAATCGGTTTCTGTGTGGAACCCAGAAACTGAAAAGACGCAATCATGCGGAATGAAGCGAATGCAGATATGTAAAGAGAGAAAGAAGAGGAACCAAATACACGGCAGAAAGAACTATCGCGTCTTCCTTCCCCTCGCCGCCGAAAGAGTTTCGGCACTGAGCTCCGTCCGCTTGATTCTTGGTGGGTCTGCAACAACAAATCAATCTCTTTTTTCCCGTTATTTCTGTTTCTTGAATTTCAGAGAGCGAGAGGGAGAGGAGTAGAGGTGGGGGAGGAAGAATTTTGGGATGAGGAGAGGGGAGAAGATGGCGGAGGAATAGGAGGATGAGGTAGCTTATGGAGTTGTCTGGTGGAGGTGATGCCTGTTGGACCGCCATTCTCGTTTTCCTCTGAAGCTATTTATGGTTTTGATTTTCCGGGCCTTTTGTTTTCTTCTGCAGTTCCAAGAAGAGCAGAAAGAAAGAAAAGAGATGGATAATTACTAATTAACAATCAGGAGACACGGCCTCGAATCAAAACAAACAGCATTCAATTTTCCTTTCTCCCGTAGATCAGATCCGGGGAATTAGATCTAATCGAATCAAAAGTGGAGTTCGCCTCGTTAATCTTATTTAATTAAATTAATTAATCAATTGGTCCTTCGAGATCCGGTCTTTTAATCAGGAACCATGTGCCTACATAATGGGATTAGTAGATACTTTCAGAGGGACGGTTAGTGATTAGTATTTTCTTATTGGTCGCAGACTTACTAGTGAATTTTTTTATTTGTTTGTTTTATCGACCTCGTGATTTCGGGTACAAGGAAGAAACAAGGCAAAGTACTTGGTTGGCCAGCGTTTAATCAATATAAAAATTAAGTTAATGTCTACTATTATTCAAAATTTTCAATTTTTATTTTTATCTTAATCCAAATTTATAAAATTTCTATTTATTATCCAAACGTATTGTAATTTGTAATTGATCAAAGTCTGGGCATTCATTCTGATACCATTACTTATTTCGTAACAGAACTCCACGTAAGTATCCACATCAGCGTACACGTTAGAAATTAATATTTAAATATATTTTTATTATTATAAATTTAAGGATAATTTTTATTTATTATCCAAACCTTTTGTGAGTTTGGAGCAAAAGCACCAAACATACATAACCAATCTCGTTGATGTTTGGTTATCACACATTATTTCACCTAGGAAGTATTCAAAAAGTAGATTACTTCACATTTAAACATGCACGATATCATTGACAAACAAGAATATTGATATTGATGATCCGATTCAATAATATTATCGCATTCTTAACACACGCTTCGTTGCGAAATTTAACACGAATAGATACCAAAAAAGCCGCCACTTTTCGAGATGAGAAGTACAAGACGGAAAATAAACAACACAAACACATGATACATACTTTTATTCAGTGCAACAGTATCTAAGAAATGATGGTGGGTGGAAGTTGTGCCGTTTTAACTGTAATCATGAATTCTTGATGCATATCCATATGCATGAGGAGTATCGAGGACTACTGGGCTGGCGGGAGTTGATCAGCAGGTGGTGGGCTCGGGCCCATATCACTCTGAGTGTGGTGACATTTGGGCCATGGTCCTCGAGCTTCGAAGCCACGTCGAGTGCAGCATCGGCCCATTCCCCGAGCCAGGAACAAGCCCAACAGAGTCCCCGCGGCAAACGTCACAACTGGCTTCATTTTGCAATCAGCTGCTCACTTAAATCGGCCACAGACTCTAAAGCTGGCTTACAATAGTGATAAATAACAATAACGATGATGATGATGATAATCTGAACTGAGAAATGTTCCCTCTTTGTGTTTTGTTTTTTGTGGAGGTTCTGAGTTCTGATGGACAATCAAATATCTGCAGGTTGAAGTTGCTTTTAAAGCTGGAAGCGCAACGTGATGGCCAAGGGGGCCAGGCCAGAACGGCAAGGCTATTTTCATCATTGGGACCTCAGCAGCACAGCACTTGGAGAATAAGCCAGAGAAGTTTGACTGAGGCTTTTTAAAATAATAATAATAATAGACCACTGTTAGACGCAAAATCTTGGAAACTGGAGTCGTGTATAATTCTGAAGGCTGTCAAACAGGTTTATTTGGTTATTATGGTTTGGCAAGTGGTATGGTGGTATTGTATGATCAGTGTTACAATTAGTTTATCTTATGTCAGTTTTAGCAAAATATGTAGCAAGTGGACATTATTAGCTAAATGAATTTGGGGTCGTTTGGATGTGGAAATTTGAAAACGTTGGAATTTGTATGAATTTGCATGTTTTACAAAAACCAAGGAATTGACTTGGTGGAAATTGAATGAAATTCCACGTTTGGATATGGTTTATTTTTTTGGGAATGATTGTGTGAAATTTGGTGAAATACAAAACTGCCCTCTTTTATTTGTATACATACCTTTTCTAAAGGTTGTTGTGTTCTACTAACTACTAATTGTTGATACTAATTAATAATGATGCTAACTATCAATTAGTGTGTCTAGAAGTTCAACAGTATAAAGGTTCTAAATACCTAATTATAAATGCGGCTAACCACAACCAGGACAAATGTTCGGCTGAACAACCTAAAAGTAAGGACAATCAATAAATAAGAGCGAGTTCAACAAATTAATACAAAATCAATCTTGAAAAATTATCGTTCAAACATTCAATCTTGGAAACTGCTCAGATTTTCCACTAATACGGGAGCTATAACATTTAGTATGTCGGGTCTCATCCAAATTTTCACAGGCATCGACTATACCCTGTGCTCATTGGCTCTAATCCAATCGAGGACTTTCCCTCCAGATGGTCGATATTCCAATTAAGCAAATCTCATGAGGAGAAGCAGGAAAATCGACGACGGATGAGATATTTAAGCGAATCAAAAAATAAGAAATCGATGACGGATGAGATGAGAGGAAATATACAAAGGTGAGGGGAGATGAAGCAGAAGAGGCATCATTATTAAATGAAGAAGGGGGTGTTTATGTAAGAAATAACTTGGAGAAATCAGGAAAGGAGTAAGGAAGAAAGGATAAAGGGAAAATTTTGGAAAAAATGAAGAAAACGTTGTAATGTCAAATTACTAGGGGGAGGGGTATTCTTAATTACCATGAATATGATAATTGAGACCAATTTCCATGGCCCAATTCACATACCATTTTGCTCCCTCAAACATGGGTTTTTAACCCAATTACTGCATTATGTGATAATTGGGTCCAATTACTGCATTGCATTTTCACATCCAAACAACCCCTTAGTGGTCGTTTGAAAATTGTGATTGTTAGAGTTGTGTTTATTTAATACATGTATTGTACCCAATACCATGTTTGGAAGTGTCAAATTGTAAAACTAGGTCCCACCAACAATCATAAAAAATTATGCATCATACAATCTCAACTAAAAGTTGAGATTGTTGGTTTTAGATTTGTGTCCGCTTTTTCTTTCCATTTATATCTCTAATAGTTTTTGTCTTATACTAAAAAAAAGTTGAGGATAAATGTGACATTTTCCCATAAATTAACTTTGTACAAATCAATACATAAAGTAGAATATCAACAACCAAACAATGTATTATTAAAATGCATCCATTGTATCAATACATGTATTTATATTATACTGCCAGAAAGTGAATTGAGCATGTATCATCTTGAAAATAGGTTGTCATTGGTCCTTTTCATGCGTTCTGTCTTCAGTTCATAAGAATATGTGTCTTGTGGTTCAAGAAGCGGTGCCAAATCATAATCTAGTATGTACACGATCTTCAAAGCAGTCAACAGAAACTTCATATTCTCTTGTCAGCGGGTAAATTGGTTCCATAAAACCGATTAAGGTTGTTGGATTGGAAAGAAAGAATACGTTTTCAAAGTAGTCTCCATATCATAATTCATTTTTATTCACGAATAAATACTCTAAATGTTAGAAATAGGAATAGAGATCATAATTGAAGGTGTAATCCTGTCACTCTCATCAAAGTATTTATTTGCGCCACTACAATCACTAATACGATTAGGCAAACCATCCTCAAAAATCAAAATCTGAAGCAATGACTTGCATATTTATGTGTTTGTGAAAAAGAGAAGAAAAACGAGAAGAGAAGATGAACACCTCTTACAAAAATTCATTAGCCAGGTAAAGTGATCAAAAGTTCTATAATCCCCCTGCACTCCTTTTTCTTCCGTATTTCTATACTTGAAGGCCAACTCTAAGATAGTCTAATTACTCATCCAATTCTGGGTCTCTCCCAAGGAAGCTTTGCCCTCATTCTTGACTGCCCCTAGTCTTCAGTCTCCACTATCTACTTTGTTCAATGTTCACCTGAGTATGAAATTCTTCCCCAACCACGGCTTCCTTGACCCTCTAGCCTCGGCACTAGGGATGGCAATGGGTCGGGTTGAGGGCGGATAGTGCATATCCGTTACCCTACCCAATGTAGTTCGGGTTTTACCCATACCCGTACCCACACGAAAAACGGGTAGAAAATCAAAACCATGCCCATACCCGTTCGGGTTTCGGGTATCCACGGTTATCCATGAGTAATAATTTCTCCTTATAATTCCAACCAATATGTTAACATTCACACGTATATTCACATTACGTAAGAGGAAAAGTACGACAATAATTCACTAGAATGACGAAAATTAATTAAAACAACATAATTTAATAAAAATATTATATTTATATGCTAAATATAAAATATTCTAGAGAAAAATAATGATTATTTCTAGACAAAATACATATGCATGTGTATAATCAGGCGGGTTCGGGTTGGATAGTGAGATAACCATGCCCACCCATTACCCGCAATATTCGGGTTCGGGTTTTACCCGTACCCACGAAAAATACTTCGGGTTCGGGTTTTACCCTACCCGATTAGGTCGGATTCGGGTGGATATCCACGGTTTCGGATATCTTTGCCATCCCTACTCGGCACTCCTTCAAACTGGTGCTACATGAGACCATCTTGCCTCCGGATCAGCATCATCATGGCCGTGCTTTGTGTCAATTTTGGCAACAAGCCGTGACGTTCGTTGTAAAAGTAATATGTAGATAACAAGTTCTTAGATGGCAAAGGCTAATTTCTGTAACCTAAAGGCATTAATTTCAGCCAAAACTTAAGGAGCTCTTTGTTAGTTTCAACATCCACAACGAGCAATGAAAAGTCAAGCAGGCACATTTCATTTTGTTCTCAGATAAGAGGAGGGCATGAGCACAATCATTCAGACTAGGTGAAAGCCAACTACAACAAAGTGCGCAATTGAAATTGCTCCCGAGCTCGAATAAACATGTTTAGATCAGAACTGAAACTGCATCTCGGGGGTATAGCCAATCGCTTCAAGGTGTGCTGCCATGGCCTTATTCATCGGTGGCGGTCCACACCTAAGAATCTGCACATTTGCATCGTTATATGGTTAGCAGCTGATGAAGTTGATGGCATAGCAGGAGCACTGATGAATGACATAATGCAAAGTAGAAGCAAGGAACTCAGCAAAGGTTACCTGGATATCAGCTGCTGGAGCTGGCAAATGGGTTTGAATCATTTCCTTTGAAACAAAACCAACACCACCATTCCAAACCTCTGGGGGCTGCATTTCAGTGTGTGTCCATATCATTATTTAACTAAAGCCATAAACAAAGGCAACCATATCAACAGACGGATCAGAGAGGTAAACAGTGTAACAACGAACCTGATTCAAGACATAGTAGATCTTGAAGCTGTCAGGGTACCGAGAAGCAAGACCTTCCAATTCCTCCTGAAAATTAAATTGGGGTTACAGTTAATTACTGTGTTTAACAGAAGAGGGTTTTTAACTAAATGAAGAAAGCAACTTAACATTTAGAAGAAGAGTGCATCTTGATTTTTACTAGAATGATTATCCAACAGAATCCTGATTTTACCTCCAAATTAAGTAGTAAACTCTAGACCAACAGTAGAACTAGAAGAATTGGAACACTCCCTTCCAGCTGTTTTAAAGCCTTATACAGTCTTTTTAGCTTGACATTTTTTTCATTTTTGTACTTCATCAACTTAAAATGCTAGCAGGACACCCACATTACCTTTAACAAAATGTCATCATGTGTTACGTTGGCATAAATAAGATGGACCTTCGTCTGGTCTTTCGGGTTTTCCAGTATGGCTCTGGCAACCTGAAGTAGGAATTAACAAAATTAAATCTTATATATATCTTCGCCAAAAGTAAAGTCCCGTGCTACTGGCACCCAGGATAACTCATATATAAATAAAAAACGAGAGGCATGTAGATACTAACAGCCGAAAAGTTAAGTTTCAGAGCGTACTTGGAACATTGGTGTAATGCCAGAGCCACCAGCAAGCATTCCAAAAGCTCTAACTTGGCCAGGTTGGTATCTAAATCGCCCCTGTTTACCAGTTAAATTTCAGACATTGTCAGCAACAGAACTGAAACCACTCTTCCTACGATGGAAATCCTCATAGTGAAGCAAAATACACAATGGTTCAACTAACAATAAGCAACACCCCTGCAGGATGCTCAATACTGCAGAAAATTGATATCAGGAATTAAAGTAATCGAAGTTTATTTTTAGAATATCAATGCAAAAGAAAACAGGGCGCAAAAGTGGATTCTACATTATTGAGGAAATAGACCTTGTACCTTGGGTCCTTTCACAGCGAGACTTTCGCCAACACGCATCTCTCTGAAATGGTGGGACATTCTTCCTTGTGGATACATCTAATTTAGAAGGAAATCAAAATTAAGTTAAGCAGTTCAAATTGATCAAGAAGTGACTACTAGCGTGGTCCAACTGGAGCAAAATGAACAGTCCCTTCTTTGTAACCTCCCCTTGTGTGATCAGCCTTAGAATGATAAAAAAATGTGACCTTTTCTAGCAGCAATTGCTAACAAGATCGAATAACAGGACCCAATTAACTATGGCCAATCAGTAGTTTCCAACATCACAGCCCATTTGTTGCATGAAAAGACAGTGTTCAAGTTGAGGTAACGAAGTCAAGTGAAGGAAAGATCATGCACCTTAATAACTAACTCAAAAGATCCAACATCAGAGTCAAGCGTAGTTGGAGTATAGGGTTTAATGACTTCCTCTCCCTGACTATCCTTGCCCCTGCAAGAGAGAAAGCTGTATAAGAACCAAGCTATGACAAATAAACAGGCCAAAAGGAAAGACCCAACTCCATCAGCCGCGGTATTATTTCTCTATTATCATGGTTGATGCAGAACAAATTCTGACGACCAATACCATGTCAAGAAATTTGCAAATGCGGGCTATGCCTAACATGAACAATCAATCATTTTGACAAAGAGGGATCATGAAAAAACCTGCAACTAATATGCTGACCAATAGGCAAGCCCAAAACTGAAGTTGGAGTAGGCAGTGCAAACGTGAACTTGGCCACATTATGGCTAAGCTGCGTGCGCTTGACGAGTTTAAAGTCCCTGAAGTTCTCAGGGTCTAAGACACCTGTAAAACAAATTTATTTTTAAGTTACCGGACAATTTAACATTGAACAGTCGATCAAAACTATAAGTGCATCCTACAGTTCAGCTGGATCATCTGGAACCCAATCCCCAATTATTCCCATTGAAACAAGTCCTTATCACATAGCCTCAAACTAGACAATTGGAAGCAGCTAAAACATGCATAATTTGTCACAAAGTTTGCAACTTTGTGAGAACCCATCTCTCAGAAATAACAACAAAGGTAAACCCAGCCGAGAAAACCACATCATAACATCAATTCCCATCTAAGTTTGGCCAGTAGCCCAAAACAGAGAAGAGATGTGAGAAGTCCAAACCTCTAGGTTTCTTGGAAGAGAAGAGGAAGATAGCACCAATGGCAATGGCGACAACAGCCACTGCAACTCCCACGAGGATCTGAGGGTCAACTGTCTGCAGGAATTCCAAATCCATCCTAGCGATAGTTGAGCGATCCCCCCAAAACCCACGGTTTTCCCAGGCAACTTGCCACCCAGCTGAAGGCAAGCAAATTTATACGAGGGAGTTGGGCCGGTGGGGGCGTCTCTCAGCTGTGGGTGAAAAAAACAAGGGAAAGACTGAGAACGCGATTCGAATCAAAACTGGGGGCTTGAATGAAAGAGAATCGGGGTCGGGGATGGGGTTTTGTGAATTAATTATGGGGTAAATGCCACATTTGGTCACTGAGTTTACTAAATCGTTTCATGTTTAGTCACTAAAAAACATTAATATCAATTTTGGTCACTCGAATTACTGAAACAGGTCACATTTACTCACTCTCCCGTTAGTTTCCGCCCAAATTCATTAATGGAGTTGGACGAAAACTAATGGGAGAGTGACTAAATGAGACCATTTTCTGTAATTCAAGTGACCAAATGTGATATGTTTCAGTAATTCCAGTGACTGGAGTTGGACGGAGGCTAACGAGAGAGTGGCCAAATGTGACTTGTTTCAGTAATTCGAGTGACCAAAATTGAAATTAAATTTTTATAGTGACTAAACATGACACAATTTAGTAATCTCGGTGACCAAATGTGGCATTTACCCATTAATTATGTGTGTTTTATTTGAAAACTTGGTAGGTGAAGAAATTTGGAGGCATGAGATGAGATGGGAGTGATTTTGGTATAACCAGAAAATTGGTGGGGCTTTCAGGAAATCCTGGTACACCTACCAACAACACCACAGTCCATCTACAAACACTCACGCGTGGGAAGTTCACTTGTCACGTGCCTATTTCTAGCACGATTGGGCTGAGTGGTCACGGTTTGGTGAGTAGTGCCCCGACTGCCGAATCAGCCTTTTCAGTGTTTGGTTTTGATGTTACATCCCAACTTTTCAGCGTATAAACGGATTAAGAAACTTCGTGATGTGAATGTGATCAATGAGGCTGATTAGAGCATCCACATTAGTATTGCATTCTCAATTGCAAAATGACATGACATAGGTATTTGCAATTGCAAAACCAATTGCATTGATGTAACTACCAATTGCATATATGCAAGCTTGCAACAAATGCAATTGCATATGTAAGTCAAAAAAGCCTAAAAAAGGGGACTTTTTATTTTATATTGTTTTCTTTTCTCTTTTACTTAATTTTTTATAATTTAAATACAATATTTAATTATATTTGCAATTGCAAGTTAATTGCATTGATGTAGGTGATTGAAATGAATGTGATGTGGATTGCAAAAAAATTGAGTTAACAATAAAAAACATAAATGCAATTTTTTTTGCAATTGCATTGATAGAGATGCTCTTATGATTTGATGAGGAGGTTAGATCGGTGTAAGATAAGGTACATAACTTTAGTGTGTTTAACATGAGTAATCAAATTTGGATTTTTTTTAAGTGGCTGTAGATCTAAGGATTGTAAATTAAATATATTTTATATTTCTATTTTTCTTAATCAGATCATATCTTTTTCATTCTAACTCGGATTTCAAATTTTTTTTTTTTGCATAAATGGAACGAGTTCGTTGTGTTCTACAAAATGAGATCCATTTTCAATATTTTTTGAGAATTTTTTTCATACCTCTCGTTACCAACTCCATATCATATGATATCTCCTTCGTTTTTTAGTCGTTTTCGGAATTTTTTGCATATAAGAAACGATTTAATCATGATCTATTAGATTTCAAAATTTGATGGGTAAAATTTTTTATGCCTCTCGTTACTAACTTCATACCATACTACCAGGGTGGTAATTTTCATACCATATGGTATGGCTCTTACTTAATACCAGTCAATTAGGGATGACCAAAATATTCGTAACCGTGGATATCCGCCCGAATCCGGCCTAATCGAGTAGGGTAAAATTCGAACCGGAACAACATTTAGTGGGTATAGGTAAAATCCGAACCCGAATATGTAGACAATTGGGGGGGGGGGGGCATGAGTTTTTCACTATCTACCCCGAACATGCTCGATTATTTTTTTTTGATAATGGTGAATTGCCGAACATGCTCGATTATACACATCATATGTATTTTGACTAGAAATAATCATTATTATTCTCTAACATATTTTATATTTAGCTAGGGGTGGTAAACGGTAATCCGGTAAACGGTTTACCGTTTTACCGAACCGGTAACCGGCGGTAAACGGTAAACCGTTTACCGGCGGTATCGGTAGCCGAACGGGAAGTTGGGGGAGTCGGTTTACCGAAAACGGTATCGGTAAATACCGACGGTAAATCGGTATTACCGATACCGAATCCCCCCTCCCTACTCCCTAGTGTTGCGCCTCAAAAATATTGTAAATAAGAGTTAATATAAAATATTACATACATGAATGTAAGTATAGGCCTCAAAAATATTGTAAATAAGAGTTAATAATAAATTATTAATTACTAAAATGATGAAAAAAACTCAAAAAAATCGAAATATTACAACATCACCCCACTTCCAGAGATTCGGTTCGGTAAATATTCGGTAAACCGACCGAAAAAATCGCCCGAAATCGCTTCTCACGGTATTTCGGTAATACCGGTTTGTTACCGTTTACCGGTAATTCGGTAATCGGTAACCAGTTTGGCCAACTTCGGTATACCGAAACCGGTAAATTCGGTAAACGGTAAATTGTTTACCGACCGAATCCCACCCCTATATTTAGCATATAAATATAATTTTTCAAGAAATTGTGTTGTTTTAATTAATTTTCTTCATTCTAGTGAATTATTGTCGTATTTTTCTCTTATGTAATGTGAGAATACATGTAAATGTTAACATATTGGTTGAAGTTATGAAGATAAATTCCGTGGATACCCGAAACCCGAACGAGTATGAGCGTGGTTTTGATTTTCTACCCGTTTCTCATGTGGGTATGGGTATGGGTAAAACACGAACTACTTTGGGTAGGGTAACATATATGCACTATCCGTCCCCCGACCCGCCCATTTCCATCCCTACAGTTAATACCATATGGTATAGACGGGTAATAACTAGCTCAAATTTTGTTGTTCCAAAATATATAATAGTGGATATCATTTTGAAAAGTACAATTAATCTGATCTAATTGTGCAAAAAAAATTAAATTCCGACTTAAAATGAGCGAGAAATCGTCTTTTAAAGATTAAGGGGAGAAAATTAAAGGCTTTCCAAGAGAGATAAGGGTCGTTGATGTGGCGGATTCTGATTGAGTTATATGCATGGGGTTATTGACCACAAGGTTATGCACCTGATTCGCTCCCTGTACTAGAGTTGACAATAAAATTCGAACCCATGGGTATACTATCTGATTCAATCTTATCAAAACGGGTAAAACTTGTGTTGATGGATTGCGGGCCGAATTCGGATTTAAATTCATGACACTGTTCAAGGGTTGGAGTTAGATTTAGATATACCCGACTCATGCATACCCGCCCATACTCATATTCTCACAACCCGTCGATCCTCCTTCCCCGTTTAACCCAAAATACTAATCCCCGAGAGCGGATCAGGTCAGTTACCTTAGGGAAAGTAACCATGAGTAACCTGTCCACATCAACGTGACATCAACATCCCTCTCTCTCATAGAATGCCTTTTATCTTTTCCCTTTCAATCTTTAACGGAAGATTTCTCTCTCGATTAATTGTACTCTTTAAAATGGTATCCACTTTGATATATTTTTAGAACAAAAAAAATTGAGTAATTTATTACAAGTCAATACCATATGGTATTGAATAGGAGCAAATCACATGGTAAGAAAGCGTACCATGATGATATGAACATACCAAGACTGTAGGAAGGTAAAATACATGATAGGAGTATACTAACTGTCATTTAGGATTATCATCATTGTTTACCATAAGTTACCACCCGCATACCAGGGTGGTAAAGTATAGTAATTTTTAGTCATGTATTTTTTTCACCTAGAAATTTGTAGATCCAAATAGATCATGATGAACTCATTCCTTATGAGAAAACGTTTTAAAAAACGACTTAAAAAAGAAAGAAGTTACCATATGGTATGGAGTTGATAACGAGAGGTATGGACAAAAAAATTTCTCAAAAAATATTGAAAATTGATATCATTTTGTAGAGCACAAAGAACTCATTCCATCTGTGCAAAAAAAAAAAATGGAAATTCGAGTTAGAACGAAGAAGATAAGGGCAGATTAAGAAACTAGGGAAAATAAAATGCATTTAATTCTCCACCCTTAGATCTAAATTTTCTGGGGCCACTTAAATCTAATGGCTGAGATTTGGTTACTCATTGGTTAGTAAACAGGGGTTACTGACCGTATCCTAAGCCCTCCAAGACCCCTACTCTTCGCCGGTGGCCGGTCTCTTCCAGTGGCGGAGGCAGGATTTGAAACTACCATGTCCTCTTTTCAGAATATAAATATATTAATATTTAATTAATAGATATATAATAAATATAATCAAAACTAATGATATTCAGATGATTAAAATAAAAAAAACCTAAGACAATCATTGTTTTCATATTCCGAAAGAAACGGAAAGTACATTTGCTGTCTCAAGAAAGTCGATTTCGTTGTATCATACTAAACAACCATTAGTAAACTAGTTGTCATTTCGACTTAGAAGTTTGTCCTGAACATAGTTCAAAGCTGAAAAATACTCTCTCTACACTTGCAATTGCAACGGGTAGAATCAAAACTAGTGAATTACCACTGCGGCTGGACTGATTCAGGGTTTATGTGCAAAAAGTCGACTAGGCATAAGAAAAAAGAGATATGATTAGGTCTTTATTCCAATTTGGATTTTGTTTGTTATAATATATTAGTTTTATGTGAATTTATAAAGAAGTAATGAGTTGTAATCATATATGTGGTATTTTTTACGTCACAAAACTTACCCCTGTACTGGGACAATGCCCAATAGAGCTAGCTCCACTTATGGCCTCTTTCGACTACCAACTCTCATTAGTCATTTCCCGAAAACCCCAACTACCACACACAACATACATATGTTTGTTTGGCCTTCAACTTGAGCTCGGCTCGTTAATAAATAAGTTTAGCTCGAGCTCAGCTCATTTATTAACGAGTCGAGTAGAGTTTGAGCTAGCTTTTTTATTTATTTTTTATTTCTGAGTGATATCAATGGAAAATAATAGTTAAGCTTACAATTCTACCCAGGACCCCTAAAAGACTCTAAAGAAGCCACCTCAAAAAATCAAAAGATTCTAGCTCTACACGAGACAAAAGCAGTGCTTTACGCGCCACTCTATGGGCAGCACTGTTGGCGGATCTAGGTACCGCCCTAAACTCTATACAAACAGACAAAGAGCTAAGGATCTGAAGACACTCTCGTAACACCGGACCACAAATCGAGTCTTCTAAGATGCCTTGACGGACTTGGTTGACGACCACTTCGGAGTCACCTTCGACTATCTCGTGGGCCAAGCAATATCCCTTGATGTTACAACCCGAACGCCAACATTACATGCCCGTCTGACCCACGGATAACAAGCCCAGACGAACACCCGGAGGCACAAACAGCTGCGTCGACGTTGATCTTCAAAAAGCCTTCTGGTGGAGGGACCCAAGTGGTGGCAGGAAGGAATCAGAGTAGATAGCTGCGGGGAGGAGGGGGAAGAAGAAGATTGAAGATTTCGAGGACCTGGTTGTAGAACTGTCTGGCTAGGGTACGGACATGAGGTTGGATAAATTCAAAGTCACTTTATTTCTAGACTTCCAGATTCTCCAAAATAAACAGACGCATTGGAGAATGTGGAATGGGGAGGTCTCGGAGACCATGACATGTCGCCACCATAGACTAAAGTTAACAGTCTGGGCGGTCTCAATAAAGTTGCTCAATCCCACTAAAGTCCACAATTTGATGGCTAGGGGGCATCTGAATAATAAAAGTTCAATGCTTTCTCGATGTCTCCAGCAGACAGGCCATCGGTGAAGGCAGTTTACTCCACGAGTTTGAAGGGCCACTACTGTGGGAAGTATGACTTTGAGGCATTGCCATATGAAGAATCCGAGTACAATTAATATGGTACCAATTAATTTCATAATTATCCATTGGTCCCAATTAATATGAAAAATGGACAAAGAAGGAGATGTTACTAAATCCCTTAATTAATCACCCAAATCCTCCATATTTCAAATCCCAGCGATAAAATAGACACTGGATTTGTTTTGCTACACTAGCCCAATAATTGGTCGAGGAGAGGAGCTTGTGTCACTGATACTTTGAAAACCATAAATTAATTAATTCTGAAAGTCAGAAATTAATTATGAACGTCAGAAATTAATTCTTTCTATCTCATAATTTGATATATATATATACCAACCATGAAGGTTGTAAAGCGCCATAAAAGGACTGCTTTAGTGACTCATTAATCACTTGTAACGGATCATTAAAGATCCAATAACATCAAATAACATAACTGATGTATTAAAACCCAAATAAACGGACCAATGAGGCCATTAATTGGTTATTTACTTCTCGCCGGAGGAAAATTGATTGCATGGACCGCCGAACCAACAAAGCCACCGGAGGCAAGTGTTTCCAGTCGTCGGAGGAGCTTCTCAGCTGGCCGGGATTCCAAGCTTGCAAACAATTGGGCTCATCGTCAGAGACAAAGTCTGATTATTATGCTGCTGAAGATCGTCGCTAAACTGCTGCTGCTGTCTCATCCATGCCTTGAGCCCGGCCAGCGAAGTTGACGGTGGCGAAGACCCGCCGCCGCCGCCGCTGACATCGAGATGGTAATTAGCGGTGGCCGGGTAGATGATTTGGCTATTGCCACCAGCGTGGATGAGGGATTGTGACGGTGGAATGTTGTTGACGGTGATATTCCCTGTAGCGGTGGTGCTAAAGAAATCTTCGAGCTTGGGACTCTCGCCGTCTGCTTCCTGATCAGGATTTCTGGCCATCACTTCTCCTCCTCCGGTGAAGGGAGGAAGATTGGCGCCGGCAGAGTGGAGAGGTGGCAGCATGTGACGGTGGTGCATCAAACACACAAAGTTAATTACTGAGATTCAAACACACAAAGTTACTATATGACACGAAACAAAATTTTCAAACTTCTTAACAACAAACATTTGAACTATGAAACAAATAGAGGCAGAGACACTGAGAAAAGGTGATCTCCTAGACCCAAAAAAGGAGGTGATGAGAACTGGAAGTTAGGTTGGTGGAAGCAACCAACTCAAAACAGAAACTTTAAGAGGGTATGCCAACCAGCCCCATATCCAAACAAATTCCAGTTTGAGCTAGCTTGCTTAATAAATTTTTGACTAGTATTTTATATATTCATTTTGTATGTTATACATGATACATGTGATTAATGTCCAGATAAAAATAAAAATAAAAATAAAAATAAAAATAGTTAAGTGTTCAATATTAACTAATCTCATGTTATACTTTGTGTGTTATCAAATTATTTAGTTAAGAAATTTTAACGGGTGAAAATTATGTTATTTCATAGCATCGAAACAATTTATGATACATAATTTCTTTTTAAAATTAGACAAGACATATTTGCTCACATAATCTACGTGTTAAACTTTATATATGCGTGAAATATATAATTTAACAATTCTATGAATTATCAAAATCAAACTCATATAGATCGATTCACTCATAATTAGATAATCGAGTTGGCTCTCTAGCCACAATGTTGAGAGTTGATACATCTCATGATCTATAAACGAGCTAGCTCACGAGTTGAACTCAACAAGCCACCGAGTCGAACTAGCTCGCGAGCTCCGCGATCTACAGAAGCCTAAACTCCAACTCAGCTCATTAGTAAACGAGCTGAGTTTCGAACAAAATTTTTCAGAGTCGAACGCCAAACCGCTCACGAGCAGCTCGACTCATTTGCAGCCCTACTTCCATCCAACTTCCGTCTATTCCTTTCCTTTCAGAGCTAATAATTTGAAGATTAATCATTGTCACTTGGCGTCGTTACAAGTTTCACTTGGCCAAAACTGCTTATGCAATATTCCCTGGTTAGGCTATGCTCAATGACTTCTATTAATGGAGACTGACACACCAAGATCCCTAATTTTGCTACTGCAGGCAACCCAGATCCCTAAAATTGTGATGAGACGGTACCAACCTGTGCTTACAATGAGCCTGCCTGCATATTTAGCCCAATTCAGATTGCTGACATGCTGGGAAAATGCATCCTCTATGAACTTATACATAGCCAACGGTCCATCAACAAACAATTGACCAGTATTATTACAGTTGCAGTGAATAAGGAGGGCAGGAACCAGAAGACTCCTTCCAGATATGCTCTAATCTTCGAGTAAACTCTTTCTCCCTCCCCATAATCACAGAGGTATGATCAGCATTCCACACAACATCTAACGTCAGTTGCTTATCATTGTCCCAAAACTTCCTCTTCATGTTTACGCTGCACTGCAATGGAACAACAGGGTCCTGATCGCCATGAACCACAAACACCTTCGCTCCGGATCTCGACACCATCTCCAAGAACTCATCCATACATCTCGCCCCGCCACAGATCACATTGTGCATCGTGTGCCACGCCGAATGATGGGTGTGCCTCGTCAAGTCTCGCAGCATGAAATGTACGTTCCTACAGTGCACAAAACAAACATAGCGACACAGATTGATCTCGATCTTCCACATCCCTATAAACCCAGATTCTATAGATATCAGAATCGATGCTAACCTGCTTCGAGTGAGCAGCATCAGCAACTTCTCCCACGCTCTATGGTGTCTGCAAACCAGGAAGCAGATGCAGCGGCCCAAGTGCTCGTACCACGACATCAATGCCGCTCCAAACATCAGCGGTGGCCACAGTCTCTTCTTCGCGATCTTCTCAAGTGCTCTCAAACTTGACTCTTCTTCTTCCGATCTCGCTAAGTAAGGCTGCATCAATCATCCAGTGGACTCACACAAATTACCAAGTCAACCTTCAACATTTCCGTTGTTGTCTACCACTTGAGTACAGTAGATGCTCACTTACCGGCGCTACGAGGGTTATGGATTTCACATATCCAGAGTACTTAGCCGCGAGGGCCAAGGCTATAATGCAGCCCATTGAATGGGCGACGATGTGGAAGGACGTGAGTTGAAATGGCTTCACAACTGAGTCTTCAATTGTCTGCAAGTGGTCTTGCAGTGTGTAGAGACAATCCATCGGCTTGGGACTTTCACCGAAACCTAAAAGGTCGATTGCAAACATTCTGTAGTTCTGATTTTTGGAGAGATTGGGGAATACAGTTTCAGTCCAGTAGGAGGATGAAGCGAGGAACCCATGTACAAATATCACATTCTCAGTCGATTCTCCAGAGCCAGCCGCTGTAGAATGTCAAATTCCAACCACAAGGACATCAATGAAAGAGCACAAACTTTTTTACGTTAATGGGGGTGTTAAGGTATTACTTCAGCAATGAATTACCTGACGAGGACGGCTCTCTAACCACCACATGCAATTTCCGGCCATCACCGTTCCTCGTCCAAGAAAAACACGACTCGCACCGACAATCCGACCATCTTCCGGCAGTGGTGCCGCAGTCGTCACTCGACTTCTTGCAATCCACCGGCTGAAGTTTGAGTCTTTTGGACGGAAGACGAGCACCCATCAGCCTAAACACATTTCTTCTACCCCACATCGTCTCTGAGAGCTGAATCTCGCCGGTAGTTCTGCCATTCCCGTCTCGCTTTTCACAATAGCATGGCTTTTTTCTTTTCCCTTCGAGATACTCGTCGATGAACCTGTAAATTAAGCAGAAAACAGTGTCGAGAAGGTCCAGAAGCAGGAAGACGACGACGGTGAGCACAGAGTGGAGAGCTCCTGCGATGGTTGAAACCCATTTCCCTGCAATAGCCCACACATTGCTCTGCAGAGACATGGATCGGGTAAAAGCTAGAGAATGGTTTTCAATTGGACCAGAAAATAGAGGAACAAAATCACAGGCGACGGTTAACGAGGATGGACTTTCTCGAAGTTTGTCAAACCTGCGATGATTATGAGGCCACGTCACTTGTGGTATCCATGATTATTCAGCCGCCAGGGCAAGTAACAACAAAAAACAATAATGAAGGATCAACTTCTTTACCGTAAAAGGAATCCAAGAACAATGTTACACAACAATACAAGAAGTGGGCGATGATTTTCTCTACAATGTTTTGGCTTCCGTTTTTCTACTGAGAATCATCGCCGCCTTCGTTTCTAGGCGGCTGATCGGAGCTAACAATCGGAAGGTTCCGTCTGTACTGGGTAGATGTCAACCTTCTCTCCAGCGGCGTCTTCCTTTTGCTCACAACGAATCGGTTCACGCCTTTCCGCATCGGCATTATCGACGGGAAATCTTCATCGGGAATCTGGCTTAGCTCCGATATGTCCTTGATTTGAGCCACCCGTTTGAACCACCTCTCGGCTTTAGCCTCCTCCGACATATCCAAAGGGTCGGGGTCTGCCTTCACCGCCGAACCTTCCAAGCTCTTCCCATTCCACCCAGATGGTTGGCTCATGCTTCCTGTCACGCTCGAACTGGAATTTGGCATATGTCGTGCTGAATCTTGCTGTGCACGCGTCGAATTTGGTTGATTCTCCGAACCATGAGTTGAGGCTGCATTCGAAGCTCCAGGTCTAGGGTTGCTACCCGAACTCTCCGGTGTCCAACGGGTTGGTTGACCTCTGTTTCCCGACAGATTCATATTTGGCGGGATTTGTGTTGAACTTTGCTGTGCACCAACAAAATTCGGTTGATTTTCAAAACCATGAACCGAGGCTGAATTCGAAACTCCAGTTTTGGGGTTGCCGCCTTGATTCTCCGGATTCCAACCAGATGGTTGACTTCTGCTTCCCGCCGAATTCAAATTCTGATCTGGCGGGGTTAGCGTTGATGGTTGCTGTACTAAACCAGGAACCCTTGCTGCATCTGAAAATCCAGGTCCGGGATAGCTAGCCGAACTCTCTGGTGTGGAAGAATTGGGAGTTTCAATTGCCTTGTTCTCTGACCCCTGCCCGCTTTGCTGTTGTTGATCAACCTTCTTGGCAAAGTAGTTGGGAGGGAAGGGCACGAAAGGTACATAATTTGTATCGTTTGCTTGCTCCATGGCAGCGCGTCTCTTGTACAGGGGAGAAGTGAGAGACCGATCTTTCTTCTTCGGAACTACAAATCTGTTTTCGCCCTTGCGCATTGGCATGATGTCAGGGAAATCATCATCTGCCAACGCGCTATCCACGTCTGCCACATTATGTAGCTCTGCAACTTTCTTGAACCAGCTATCAGAAGTATCACCTTGTTTGTCCTCGAACACACTCTGCTCACCAGTGCTTGAAGCAGGGGGCCTAAAGTTATCTGAAGAGATGGTAGAAGCGCATGAGATCAGGAAATATCTGAAGTGTCACGCTTGAAAATGTACTTATCTTTTAGAGAAAGTGAAACAAACACATCCGTAATTTCAATCAGAGATTAGGAGCTTATACCTGTAGGTTGAAGCCTGTTGCTATCATTCCCCAAGGCTTTTTGGTTTTGAGCATTGCTCAGCCCTCTCTCAAGAGGAGTCTTCCTTGTGCTTACATTAAACATATTGCCTCCTTTTCTCAAGGGTATGATTTCAGGGAAATCTTCATCCGGTATAGCACTGTTGATGTCTGAACTATTGTCCATCTGAGACATCTTACTAAACCACCGCTGTGCCTTCTCTTCATTGGCAGCCAAACGGTTATCAATATCACCGTCATTTGATTGGGTTCCATATCCAGACTCGAGACCTGGTCCAGACCCCATGGTCCTTAGTGATACTTCTCCGGGGCGCTTGCAGTCACACCTTATGCATACCATATTCCTCCCATAATTGAAGTAATCACATCTACATGAAAGAGTGTCGGATAATAATTTATAAAAAATGAGGATAACCCCAGAGCAAGACGAAATCAAGGCTAAATCTACGAAGAAGCTGCTTACTCAGGACACTCCCACTCTCCCCCAGTAAGCTGTCTCTTCGGGCGTGCTTCTTCACAATCAAGACACTTGATGTTCCTTGCAAAGTTCATAAAATTACACCTGCCCAACAACGGGCAACAAACAATGTCATTTACCAATGAGTTTTACGCTTTAATTCCTCAAAGCACTTCCATACCTTGACACCACCAAAATAAGAATCGAGTGAAGCAAAGCACAACAGATTCAAGGCAAAGAACTTACCTTGAACAAATCCAGTCACCTTTCTTCATTTCAATATTTGGTCCAACTGGACTTGGTCCTGGAACATTTCTCTCTAAGAACTGATTTCGTACAGCTGGAGATGGTTGAAAACTAGGAATGCTGTTATAGCTGAACTGGGACAACTGACCCAATATGTTACGAACAGATAACTCAACCTCTTGCTTGCTATCTATGTTCATGTTCCCAAAAGGCATAACATTGCCAGCATAAGTCACTAAGAGCTTCATCAAATCAACTGTCTGCGCTCTATCCGCGCTAGTTACCTAAAATATTCATAGTACGATTGTACATTAGCTCTGCCGGCAGTTCATCGATATTCAATGCTGAATCGTTGACTGAATTTTGTACTCTCACTTAAACAGAAAACACCATCGTACATAAAAGCAAGAGATAGCACAATGACAGCTAAAACTTACGTTTCTGCTCTGTCCATCCAGAAACAGCTGCATTCTTCTGACCAGCTCCTCACCATTTTTGAACAGCAAAAGAGGCATGCCGTTGGTAATTACCGTCGCAATATCTCTTCTGGACAGCAGCCTATAAATTGAAGATACAAACGGAAAGAATGAATTCAAGGTGGATGTAGAATTGAAAAACAGAGAAACAATATGCCTAGAATTGAATTGCTTTCTCGAATGAAAAAAAATTCGGACCCCAAAATCTCAGGCCTGTCACGACCGAAAGCCAAGCAAGCAATGGTAGTTCTCACGAACTCATCAGGCAAATTCGTCGGGTCCACGAACTCTTCAATTTCCGAGTCAATCACCTGGCGATTAAAATACCCCAAAGCAGAGATATTTTGGAGGAAATTGGACCATTCCGGCCACTGATGGAAGACCGGAGGCGGCTGATGCGATGAATTGGACGATTGACCGGCAAAGGTGGCCTGGGCGTAAAATTGGCGCGAGGATTTAGCTCGAAAGGATGGAGGAAGAGACGGAGTCGAGGATTGAAGGTTGTGACTGCAGCGGACGCGGTGAGGGATGGAAGAGAAGGAGAGCTGACGGCGGCGGTGGCGGCAGACAAGGCGGAGAAGAGCCGGGCATTGGCGGTGGTGAGGGAGGAGAAGCGGGGAGGAAGAGGTCGTGGAGGTGAGGAGAGTGAATAGCCTGGTGGCGCCGCCCATCTCTCTAGTGTTCAACGGTCGGCGAATGTCATAGAAGCTCCGCCGGGCAAAGTTGATGTCGGCGTACGGTTGTTGACGACGGCACCGGTTTTCGAGCTCTAAAACCCTATCATCTGCTGAGAAGAACGGGATTTCAGCCTCACTTTAGCTGGATAAAATATCTCATCAAATCAGCTAGGGTCGTTTGTTGGTTGGGCTGGCCCATAAAGTAAGGAGCAGTGTGATGGCCCAAACTACCTGACCAGAAAATGACTTCACGTTTTGGGCCGCCCAGCAGACAGTATATTGGCTGAATCAATTTGTCTGTATCGATGATGATGAACGGAGCATTCCCCAACAAAGAGGGACTCTACACTCTACAGAGAAGGAAGATACCTCCCGCAATCGCATTCTCCTGATGCATTGTTCTGTCTCAGTCGGCGATGAGATTTGGGAACCCTAATTTGTCCGCCGGCGACCAAGGAGGTATAAAAGGAGTGGTTAAGCCATACTAATTCCTCACCCTACACACACCATACAAAAAGCAGCTAATAGGGTCATTTGGGAGGAGGAGAGTGTACATAAAGAGCTGAAACAGAAAGAAACAGAGAGCGAAGCAAAAAAAGAAAGAAGAAGAAAGAAGGAAAGTATGGATTCCGGATCAAAATTGATGGTGGTGGCAGCTTTCCTGCTCTTAACCATTTCGAGCTTCCTTGTCGTCGACGCGAGGCTTGCAGACACGAGCATCGTCAGGGGACCGGATTGTATCGGTAAGTCAGAGGATCAAGAGTACAACGGCAAAGTGGCTCGTCTCATCAACATATTCGTCGACGAGACGAAAAATGTGCAGCGCAGCCATCACAGCGATTACAGTTACGTTCACAGCTACCCGAATCGTGACAACGGCTCGGTCATCGGAGGCGCTACCTGCGACAGGCACCTTTGGAAGCTGGATTGTTGGGCGTGTTTGGTCACTGCTAAGAACAAACTCAAGAGCAATTGCGAGCATACCCTTGATGCTAGGCTCGAATTGGCAGATTGTTCCATCTGGTACAAAATGATCCAATAACTTCACTCTGTGTTTCTGGATATATTTGTATAAATGTGCGTCTCTCCTTCCCCTACTCTTGTAAGCCCGTTATGTTTTTTGTTTTACCCGTCTGCTGCTTTGGTTGTGTTTGGGTCTATCTTTATCTTATCTTGATTTCCGCATTTAATAAGGTTCCCGAATGTGTGGAACCGGTTACGAGCGGAAACTATCAATACTTGTCTATGATGCATATGTATTTTCAAATTGATGATTAATGAAATCTTACATGACATGTTCATACTAATTATTATGAATATAAATGTCAATTTGCTTCAAATTGTGAGGACATGGAAAACAAGTGGAAGTAGTTGATAACTCAGTTCGAGCACTTCTACTATGCTATATAGCATTAGTATTTTAATGTACAACTTGAAGTTGTACCATAACATTAAATGTATAAGTTTAGGTTGTACCATAAAGGAATTTGTATCATTATGTTATGGTATAACTTTACAACTTGAAGTTGTACCATCACATAGGGTACAAGTTTAAGATGTACCATAAAAGAATTTGTACAAAAAGTATATGTACAATCTGAAGTTGTACCGTAACGTTAAAGGTACAATTTCAAGTTGTACCATAAAAGCAAAAACCTATAGCACCAATGCTATATAGTATTGTAAAATTCCTCAACTAAGTTCATATCAAAACTCAGTTCATATCAAACTAATATATATTAGTAGATATTAAGTGGGTACACTCTACAATGTAATCAAACTAATAACACATGAAGTGAACTTTTACCTAAAATCCTTTTAAATCACCGAATTCTCATCCTTATAAGAAAATGTTGCCTCGTCAAGATTTAACTACTAGGAATTGTTGATCTTGTAGACACCACATTTTGTACGGGTGAAAAACATATTTAATTAAGTAAAATGGATATGCGTCTCATGTTTGCAATAGTGAATCTTTAGTGGCATTTTAGATAGGGGTGGGATTCGGTCGGTAAACGGTAAATTGTTTACCGAATTTACCGGTTTCGGTATACCGAAACTGGCCAAATTGGTTACCGATTACCGATATCGGTTTGTAACCGGTTTACCGATTACTGGTTTTTCGGTCGGTTTACCGAATATTTACCGAATCGAATTTCTGGAAGTGGGGTGATGTTGTAATATTATGATTTTTTTGAGTTTTTTTCATCAATTTTGTAATTAATAATTTATTATTAACTCTAATTTACAATATTTTTGAGGCCTATACTTACTTACATTCATGTATGTAATATTTTATATTTATGAATAATGAAGTATATGTTATATGTTAATGCCTTAACTAGTTAACTTAATATTTGACAAACTCAAACTTGCTATCTATTAATCTATTTAATTTAACATAAGTTTAAAGGGTCAACAATAATGATTCATGAATCAACATCAACTCTCATCAAGCATCATCATTCATCAAATATTCAAATTCATCAAACGACAATTCGACAAACATCGTCAAATTCAAAGGGACAACAAGTCAACAATCAACATAAACACATAATCGTCATTTGTCAATCGACTAAAGTGCCCAATGATAATGTCTAAATTCAACACAAGTTCAAAGTCCAAACTTAAAAAATAAAATAGACAATCAACATAAACACAAGCTCATGCTCCTCCTCCGGTAGAACTTGTAGCACCACCAACATTTGCGCAACCTTTCTTCTTCAAAGTCATGAGAAGAGTATCATCGGGATCATCATCGTCATCTTGGTTCATGTCTTCGTCGGACTCGGTGGCTTCATCATCATCACTATCCTCCTCCTCCTTCTCCTCCTCGACCTCCTCCTCATCAACCCTAACAGGTAAGCTATGTGCTCCACTTGGGATGTCACTTGCAGTTTCCACTCGAGATTGGAAAGTATTAGTAACTAGTGCAAATAAAATACACAATTGTTAGTATGTTACAAATGGAATGGTTTAAAATTTAAATAGTAAAGAGTATAGAGAAATTAGAATAATAAATTGAATTCTTACCACTTTCATAATCGATTGTCTCTTGATCTTCTTCCTTATCATTCAGTTCATCTGCAGTCTTTCCACTTTCATATCTTATCCAATCTTCAGCACATATCAATGCCTTCACAATGTTTAGGCTTAAAGAGGACCTGAAAGGACTAAGAACTCGACCTCCACAACTGAAAGCGGACTCCGATGCAACAGAGGAGACTGGAACTGCTAATATATCCCTAACCATCTCTGAAAGAATGGGATATCTAACACTGTTCCGAGCCCACCACTTCAGAATGTCAAACTTCCGATCATCAATCTCCTCATTAATAGCATCACCAATATCTCTCAAATACTGCTCCAACTCACCAGAACCTCGACCCCCCCTCTCAATTTGCTCCTTTCTCTTCTACTGGAACCGAGCTTCAAATGCTCCTCCCATATCAACAAATCCGTCACTAGTCTCAGTAGGAGCAGTAGTCTGGGTAGTAGGTACAGAAAAAGAGGATGGAGTTGCATACTTCATCTTGTAGACATTGTACAATGCAATCATCTCCTTCTTTACTTCATCTGCCAAAGCTCCCCCTTTTGAGATCCCATACATTTCCTCCAACATCATAGTCAAATTGTCTAGCTTACGCCTGGGATCCAGCACACATGCCATGTAAACTATCCTTTTTATCCTAAGGTTCTCCTCCTCGTCAGCAACATCATTCTCAAACCAATACTTTCTCACCTTTTCCTCTATTCTCAATGCCATTCTTTGTATATGTCTATCTGCATCTTTCTTCAATTTTGCTATCACTTCATGAATATCCACAATGGCTTTGTAGAAAGTATGTGCAGTGACATATGATGTTCCTGACACAAAGAAAAATTTACCGACATTAGTATAAATAATATAACTCATAACTCATAATCATTCAATTTAACTTTAAAATTTGAAAGTTATTAGTTCATATACCTGATACACGAAGAGTAAGCTCATAGAAGAACTTCAGGTACTTCATGAGCCGCCTAATACTGCTCCAATCATCTTCAGTTGGAAGACTCTTCTTTGAATCCACATACTCTCGAAAGGAAGAATCAGTAGGACTAGCATACATGATCGTAAAAACCTGCTCAAACCTCTCCGCGGAATCCAACATCAGATAGGTGGAATTTCACCTAGTCGGAACATCCAAAGACAACAGTCTTTTCCCATCCATATCTAGATACTCAATGCCTTTCTTGAACTTTGCCATCCGAGCTGGGGATGACTTCACCCATTTCACACAATCCCTTACCCTCTCCACAGCAACTCCAACCTCCTTCAATCCATCAGAAACAACCATATTGATGATATGTGCCACACATCTATACTGCAAATACTTCCCATCTAGCAAATCTGTTCCCACCCCTTCATTCTCATGCACTCAACAAGAACATCATTCGAACTGGCATTATCCATTGTCATGCAAAACAAACTCTTCACTTTCCATTCTTGTAAACACTTCTCCAAAGTATCTGCAATATCCTTCCCCGTGTAACTAGTAATGGTAACAAAGCAAATAATCCTCTTCTGCAACTTCCAATCATCTCCAATAAAATGTGCAGCCAAACACATAAAATTTATGGTTATTATCACTAGTCCATGGATCTGTAGTGATAGATATTCTTCCTTTGCACTTTGAGTTAAAAAACTCAATCAATATTTCTTTCTTCTCCAGAAAAATGACATAACAATCAGATCTTATTGTTTACCTTCCAGGTATCACAAACAAAGGCTGAGTTGTTGCCATAAATCTCCTAAACCCCTCCCGCTCAACAAATCTAAACGGAAGCTCATCCAAGATTATCATCATAGCTAATGCATGTCTAGATTTGTTCTGATAAAACTTCCATGGAGTAAGAGAGCCTACTGTTAGCGGATCCAGCCCATGTGTGCCACATGTCGAGGCCCATGCTGGTGCACATTGTATTGTTGGCCCTATTGTTTACGTAGTGTACGTACTAAACTAGGGTTTTTTCCTTTCTTGAAGTATGGCCGAGGTGAACTAGGGTGTATTGGCCATATATATATTCCTCCCATGTACAGCAGCCGATCATCAAGTAATATCGATCAGTAGTAGGAGAGTCTTGAGGCTCTCCCGTGGACTAGTCCTGAACCTTTCAGGGATACCACGTAAATCCGAGTCTTTCGTATTTCAATTTCATTTTCTAACATGGTATCAGAGCTTTCGTCCGGCGATTCTGATCGCCTCAGTATCCGTCTTGATCCGAAGAACTATGCGGTGTGGGAATTTCAATTCCGCATCTTTGTTGAAGGCAAGGGTCTTCTGCCGATCCTTGATGGTTCTCTTCCGCAACCACAGGTTCCCCCTGCTACTGAGCAGGAGCTGTCTCGCTGGGTGATGAATAACACCAGGCTCAAATCCTGGATTCTGGGCGCAGTAGATCCATCTATACTGCTGGGTCTTCGTCTGTTTACGACCGCATCCGAGATGTGGTCTCATCTTGCCGCTACGTATGCTACCTCCAACACAGCTCGTCAGTTTGAGTTAGAAACCGAGCTGGCCGCACTGAAGCAAGGCGACATGGATGTCGCAGCCTACTACAATGCATCAGTTCGCCTCTGGACCGAGGAGGATCTTCTTCTCGCGTCCCTTCGATCCGCTGCTGTTTCTGAAGAAGTCCGTGCCGAACGCAACAAATCCCGCCTGCTGCGTTTTTTGATGAAACTCAGGCCAGAATATGAGGCCATTCGTTCCGCTTTGATCAACCGGGAAGACCTAAAATTCGATGGGGTCTTAGCACGTCTCATCCAAGAAGAGACACGCCTCCGTGCACAAGAGAAGTTTGATCTCCGACCTGGGCAAGTGAAGCTGTGTTCTCTGCTGAAGTTCGACATGATGATGATCATCATGTGTATGCTGCCAATCGTCCCCAATTTCATCGCCGACCACCCGCCACTGAGCTGACCTGTGCATTTTGTGATGAAAAAGGACATGTTCAAAAGCATTGCAAACAACGCAATTTTTGCGTCTATTGCAAGCGCTCGGGTCATATAATCAGTGAGTGCCGCACCCTTCAGCGCCGCCAGCAGTACTCGGCCACGTCCTGCCGATCCGACTCCACCCCCACTCGTGCAGCACCTTCCTCCTTTGCTGTTCAGCCTGCCGAATCTGCTGCTGGGTCATCCTCCTTGTCCGCCGAAGTCGTCGAGAAGTTGATCAATTCGGCATTACAAAAGTCCCTTCCTGTAGCGATCAATTCGGCCTTTGCTGCTCTCCAAGTATCAGGTAAATCTAAACCATGGATGCTTGACTCTGCATGTTTCAATCACATGACCAGTGACTCCAAGTCCCTTTGTCGTATTACTCCTGTTAATAACCTGCAGCTACAAGTAGCAAATGGAGAACATATGTTAGTCAGAGGTCTTGGTGTCCTTAAGCAGCCCAATGTTCATTTAAATAATGTGCTTCATGTTCCTGATCTTCATCCGAATCTTGTTTCGGTCGGCCAATTGATTATTGATAATTGTTCCGTTTTGTTTGCACCATCTGGGTGCTTTGTTCAGGATCTGACGACGGAAAGGCAGATCGGAAGAGGGAGTAAATCAGGTCGTACCTTTATTCTGGAGGAGCTCTCGAGTCGAGGTTGTGAGTCGTCATCATCCTCTCAGGTGTCTAGTGTGTCTGGTTCGGTTTCCCCTTCGTGTCCTCTTAGTGCTTTTTCGAGTCAGTTAGACAGTCATTGGAGTCTTTGGCATAATCGTCTTGGTCACCCAAACTCGGGTCGGTTACAATTGATGTTCAAACAGCAGTTACTTGGCAATAAATCGGTTAATTGTTCCTCATTTCTCCCGTGCTCTAGTTGTGTTGAGGCGAAGGCCAAAAGTATTTCCTTTCCTTCCAGCCACACGGTTATAACCGAGCCATTCCATCTTGTGCATACTGATTTATGGGGACCCTCTCCCGTTACATCTCGAAATGGATACAAATACTTTGCTCTTTTTATAGACCATGCCACTCGTTATACCTGGGTCTATTTTCTTCATCAAAAGTCCGATTTGTATGATGTAGCGGTTGAGTTTTTAACTATGATCCGAACCCAGTTCAACAAAAATGTGAAAATTCTTCGTTCGGATCCTGGTGGGGAGTTTAGCTCGACTCCGTTGCTTGAGTACTATAAAACTCACGGGATTCTTTGCCAAACATCTTGCCCCGGAGTCTCGCAACAGAATGGCGTTGTTGAACGAAAAAATCGCCATACTGTTGAGTTAACTCGAGCTCTTCTCCTCGCCTCCTCTGTTCCTACTCGTTTTTGGCCTGAAGCTGTCGCTACTGCTGTTCGTCTTATTAATTACCAAATCACTCCTATTCTTCAAAATCGTAGTCCTTATTTTGCCCTTTATTCTTCCCATCCGCCTTACTCACGCCTTCGTGTGTTTGGTTGTCTGTGTTTTGTTCTTCTTCCCCGTCGTGAACGTCATAAATTGTCTTCTAAAACTGCTAGGTGTGTCTTCCTTGGTTACAGTGATATTCACAAAGCATATCTCTGTTTTGATCCCTCTCTTGGTCGGGTTAGAATAGCTTGTCATGTCGTTTTCTTTGAAGGTGTGATGTTTCATACCTCGTCCTCGTCCGAGTCCGTTTCTCACCTGTTCTCCTCGACTCATCTTCCCTCCTTTGGTGACGACCTGGATGATGATGATCTCCCTCCCGATCTTCCTCCTGACCAGCCGGCATCTCCCACTGCGTCGGATCCCGCCAGTCCAGCTACTTTCTCCTCTGGCTCGGCCCCATCCTCTCCTCCCAGTACAGTCTCGTCCGGCCCGGCCTCACCTCCTGCTTCGCTGACTCCACCTGTCCGTCGTCAATCCCGCCGCGCCAACTTTGGGCAGCCTCCAGCAAGGTTTGGTGATTACCTTGCTCATGCAGTTGACTCCATTCGGATCCCCACTCGTTATTCCCAGGCCAAGGGTGATCCTCTTTGGGACAAGGCCATGTCCGACGAGTTTGATGCGCTGGATGCAAACCATACATGGTCGATAGTGGATCGGCCTCCTCCTGAGGTTCCGGTTGTCGGTTGTCGGTGGGTTTATAACCTGAAGTTTCTTCCGGATGGTAGTCTTGAGCGTCATAAGGCTCGAGTGGTCGCGCAGGGCTTCACTCAGGAGTACGGCGTGGATTTTGATGAGACATTCGCCCCGGTGGCGAAAATGCAGACTGTACGTACTTTGCTCGCTGTTGCTGCTGTTCGCAATTGGCCTCTCTTTCAGCTCGACATTAAGAATGCCTTTCTCCACGGTGACTTAAAGGAGGTGTGTCTACTTCATAGGTCTCTCTATGGCTTGAAACAGGCCCCTCGGGCTTGGTTCGAGAAGTTTCAACACACCATTCTCAGTTTTGGTTTTCAGCAGAGCCAGAATGATCCTTCCCTGTTCACTCAGACTTCGTCTCGTGGCCGTGTTGTTCTATTGATATACGTCGATGATATGATTGTTACAGGGGATGATCTCATTGGTATTGATCGACTAAAGGCCAATCTTCGTGCCTCTTTCAGTCTGAAGGATCTGGGCTCTCTCTCTTACTTCCTGGGCATTGAAGTTCATCGTTCTGATCGCGGCATTCTGTTGAGCCAGCATAAGTATATTAATGATCTAATGGAAGATCATCGGTTCGGTGACTGCATCCCGGTCCGCACTCCTATTGAGCTTAATCTGAAGTTGGGTAAGGATTCCGGTGAACCCTTAGGCGATGGTCGTGTTTACCGCAGTATGGTCGGGAGTCTAATCTACCTAGTTGCTACTCGGCCCGACATAGCCTACGCTGTGCAAGTCGTTAGCCAGTTTATGGCTGCTCCGCGGACTGAATATCGGGCCATGTCTGATGTTGGTTCAGAGTTAGAATGGTTACATCGTCTTCTAGGTGATCTTGGTGTCACTGTTGCGTCCCCGATGGTTCTCCATGTTGATAATACCAGTGCCATTCAGATTGCTGTTAATCCGGTTCTCCACAACCGTACGAAGCACATTGAGGTTCACGTTCATTATATTCGAGATTTGGTTCGTGCGGGCATCATTCAGCTCCGACATATATCTACTGACGATCAGGTGGCGGATTTACTTACCAAGACCTTTACCACGAGTCGGCATTGGTTTCTCAGTAGCAAATTGATGCTTCGGGACCAGCATCAATAAGAAGTTGTAGTTGAAATGTTTGGTTATTACGTTTTATGATTACTAGCACAGGGCCAACCCTGTTGGCCGGAAGAAATTTGTCGAGGAATATGATATATAATAGATGATTTGAAATGCATCAAATGATTGTTTTCTACCTTAGTTATGCACATAACATTTTTGAAAGTGATCCAACTATGCATAATGTGTTTAGACCTCCATGAAAAGAGAACAAAATAATAATAGCATTACATATAATTATTGAATGAAAAAAAATAAATATAACTAATTGTCATTCATTACTTAATTAAACCATATAGTTGAATATTAGAGTTGCTTCTCATAATACATACATAATCAACCTTTAGGACCAAAGAAAATGTCTCATAGAGTTTAGTATGTCCTTTAAGTTTTTCTCAATAGAGAGCATTCTTTTTTACCACACTGTTGGTAATGAATCTGAAGTTGCTTGATTTGAAATATATATGACATGATGCTAAGCTGTCGCTAATAGTTAGTTGGACAATGTGTTGTGTACAGACTTCCCAAATTATTCTCAGATCGCAAACATGTCTAGCAACAATGTAGTAATTTTCATGCAACAAATATTTTTTTCATGAAATAATTCAATAAATTAAAACGTATGAAAATAATATTACATGAAATATATGTTACTCATTAAGTATCAGTAGCATACATCTATTTTAAAAAGATAGAAATTGCACAGTGTCTTTTCGGTTGCATGAGATCGCATATTCTCATTATCGCTAACTGAGTTATGTTTTTTTTTTTTGCAATAGATAGTTCAAAATGTGCCTTTAAAACTTTTGTTTCCACTAGTGTAAAAGAATTGTTTGAACCAAAGGATTGTAAAAGAGTAAAAATTTGGTAGTTGAGTATTTTATACCGAAGTCATAATTCAACTGTGGTTCAATCGTTTCATATTGCTAAATATCACCTATCGATTTAGCCTATGATGTGAAGTTTTATGGTCTAACCGCCGGTACGTACGATCTTTCAATACAAACTTTGAATAAAAAACCACTAAAATAATGGCATTATCAAATACCCCTTAAATCTCAAAAATTACAGTAATCGTATTAAGGGAAAAAAAATCTTCCAAATGATAATATTGATTTAGTATTTTAAATTTAAATGGAAAAAATATGTCAAATATAATGTGATCTCTTCAAATAAATCAAAATTCAAAAGAATAAGACCAAGAATATCCACTAATCAAAGCAGAAGAGCAATTATTTTACACTATCTCATTTTCTACTCTTTTAAATGTGCAGCAGGTTTTTGTCAGGTAATTATTATAAATTCTTTGTAATAAATCTTGACTCTACCTAATGATACTAATCTAAATCTTGACAATAATGACCTATTGTGAGTCAAGATTTAGATTAGTATCATTAGTAGGGGTGGACATTCGGTCGGTTTGGTTTCGACCGAACCTAAAACATGAATATCAGGTCCCCGAATTCTCCCAAATCTCAAACCGAATTATAATTTGGTTCGGTCGGTTTAAATAATTCTGCTCGGTTCAGTTTTTCACACAAAACCGAATTTGTGAGCTACTTGTATCTTCTCACTTTTAAATTATTTTTCACCCCTAATATAAACAATAAATATGCAATTATATGCAGCATCAATGATAAAATCAAACTTTTCAACACAGAAGTCATAAAACATTTCAAATATTTAAGTCCAAAAACAATTTCAAACATAAAAATCCACCATTTGGCGGTTGCAATTATAGTATTTCGGTTTTCGGTCGGAAATTCAAAATTTTGGTTCGGTTGAAAGAACCCTGATTTTCGAAATATTCATATTTTCCTTCCGAATTCCGAACCGAATAGCATTATTCCGATTTCAGTTCGGGTTTACCGAACCTTTTCCCACCACTAAATTCATTAGGTTGATTAATTTTAGGAATACAAAGCTCAATTGGCAGTTCCTGACAAAAACTTGTTGGGTTGGTCCAACTCATATGGTGGTTGGATTAACCGATTTGAGTTTGGGTTTTTGGTTGGTTTCTAGAAGATCCTCTATTTTCAAAATAGAGAGTTGTTGTCTACTAAAAGGTAAAAAGAGTGGACAGCCTTTCATTTGTAGAGAGAGAATCAGAAAAGAGAAGAGATAAGGAAAAAGAGAGAAGAGAGGAAGAGCTGCAGTTTTTCGTTTCTGCAGCAGGGCAGCCTGTTCAAGTGAGCATTATGGAAGATTGAACCGTTGGATCGTCCTGAAATTTGGACAGTGGGTTCGAAATTGTCTGGTCTTCATTCTGACCGAAGGGATCGTCATTCTGAGGTCTAGTTCGTCGGGAATCTCTGGTGGACAGAAGGTGTACGAATCTGTTTTTGGGTATCTCTCAACCTCTCTTTGTCTTGCTCTTGTTCTTGTTATCCACCATGTTGGTGAGAGCTATTGTGGTTGATTGTTGATCCAAGAAGGGTGTTCTTGAGGTGTTTGTAATCCTCTAGCTAGTCTAGAGAGGACTTGTAATCCCACCAAAGTCTAGTGGAGTTGTGGCTTGGACAAAGGTCCCGTGGTTTTTCCCGATTTGGGTTTTCCACGTAAAAATCGTGTGTCTTGTGCATTCTATTCTTGCTTGTGGTTGCTGCCCGGTTTCTCAACAGTGGTATCAGAGCATTAGGTTGTTTGGGGGCTGTGTTTGGTGAATGGCAAGAATGGATGACTCAAGTGGAGCAATGATTAAGTTGACATCATCCAACTACTCTATTTGGAAGCCACGGATGGAGGATATTTTGTTTTGCAAGGATCTCTATGAGCCAATTGAAAATGGCAGCGAGAAGCCGGAAGACAAAACCGAGAAGCAATGGGAGGTCTTGCATAGAAAGGCGGTGGCAATCATTCGACAATGGATTGACCAAAGCATCTTTCATCATGTTGCAAAAGATACAAGAGCAGATGAATTGTGGCAGAAATTGGAGTCCATGTATGAGAGGCAATCGGCTCAAAATAAAGCCTCACTCATTCGAAGAATTGTGAACTTGAAGTACAAGGATGGACATAGTGTCTCGGAGCATTTGAGTGACTTTCAAGGGCTTGTGAACCAGCTAACTACTATGAAGTTAGCACTTGATGATGAAGTGCAAGCATTGTTACTTCTCAGTTCTTTGCCGGATAGTTGGGAGACTTTGGTGGTCTCACTTAGCAACTCAGCACCTAATGGCAAGTTGACGATGGACATTGTCAAGGATAGCATGCTAAATGAAGAGGCAAGAAGAAAAGAGTTGGGGATTACATCGGAGTCACATGCTTTGGTGGCGGATAATTCTGGAAGTCGTGGAAGAAGTAGAAATCGAAATTTCAACTTCAAGAACTCTCAGAATCGAAGTAACAGCCGAGGGAGATCAAAAGGGAGATCAAAATCATTGTCAAGACAAGACCTAGAGGAGAAATCACATGTTATCATTGCAACCAGCCCGGACACATGAAGAGAGAGTGCAGAATCTTGAAACGGGAACAAGCTAGAGGAAAAGGTGTAGAAAACCGAGAAAAAGATGATACTACTGCTGCTGCCACAGATGGTGATGTAGTCATTGTTTGTGATGCCGGTTTTGTCAACCTTGCTTGTCAAGAGAGTACATGGGTTGTTGACTCGGGTGCCTCATTTCATGTGACCTCACGGGTTGACTTTTTCTCTTCCTACACAAACGGTAACTATGGTTGTGTGAGGATGGGAAATGATGGCGCATCAAAGATTGTTGGCATGGGTGATATTCATCTAGAGACCAACACGGGTTGCAAGCTAGTCTTGAAGGATGTGAGACATGTTCCTGACATGAGGCTGAATTTGATATCCACGGGAAAGCTTGATGATGATGGTTATACCAACTATTTTGGAGAAGGAAAATGGAAGCTCTCAAGAGGTTCTCTTGTAGTGGCTAAAGGCAAGAAGGAAAGTACGCTCTACATGACGAATGCAAAGCATAGCAAGGGAGGAATCAATGTTGCTGAGAAAGATTCTTCCATTGAGCTTTGGCATAAGAGACTCGGTCATTTGAGCGAGAAGGGGCTGCAAATACTCTCCAAGAAACAACTCTTGCCCGGAGCTAAAGGTACTCTTCTTAAAACTTGTGTTGATTGCTTAGCCGGAAAAACTCATAGAGTTGCATTTCATAGATTTCCACCTTCTAGAAGGAGTAAGGTACTTGATCTAATTCACACCGATGTTTGTTTTATGCGAGATAAAACTCTTGGTGGTGCAAGCTATTATGTTACCTTCATCGATGATCACTCAAGGAAGGTGTGGACATATGCTTTGAAAACGAAGGATCAAGTGCTAGATATTTTCAAGCAATTTCATGCTGAAGTGGAAAGGGAAACCGACCTCAAGTTGAAGTGTGTAAGGGCTGATAACGGGGGAGAGTATAGAGGTCCATTCGAAAGCTACTGCAGATTGCACGGAATTAAACTGCAGAAAAGTGTACCCAAGACTCCACAACAAAACGGTGTTGCCGAGAGGATGAATAGAACAATTTGTGAGAGAATCAAGTGTATGCTCTCACATGCCAAGCTACCTAAATCATTTTGGGAAGAAGCAATGCGGACAGCGGTTGATCTAATCAATCTCTCACCATCGGTCCCTTTGGAGGGTGACGTGCCTCAACGAGTTTGGACGGGAAAGGAAGTCTCATATGAGCACTTGCGAGTGTTCGGTTGCAAAGCCTATGTTCATGTTCCAAAAGATGAGAGAACAAAGCTTGATGACAAAGCAAAGCCATGTATTTTCATGGGCTATGGGCGTGAAGAGTTTGGATACAGATTATGGGATCCAATTGCTAGGAAAATTGTTAGGAGCCGGGATGTGATTTTTCTTGAAGATGAGACAAGTGAAGACATCGAAAGGGGTGAAAAGAAGAAAAATACAGCAGCTGGTCCGGTTAATTTGGAGCCTATATCTTCATCCCAAATGCATGAAAATGTTGAGGAAGTAGTGCATAATGAGCCCCAAGGTGCACTAGATCAAGAAGTGCAAGGAGAAGAGCAATTGGAGCAAGAAGAACAAGTTGAAGAAGAGCAACCTCTACCCGAACCAAGAAAGTCAACAAGAGATCGCAAAACTTCCACTTGGTACTCCCCTCATGAGTACCTATTGTTGACTGACGGGGGAGAACCCGAATATTATCAAGAAGCCATGTCTCATGAAGACAAGGAGGAGTGGAACAAAGCAATGCAAGAAGAGATGAAGTCTTTGCAAGAGAATCACACCTATGATTTGGTGAAGCTACCCAAAGGGAAAAGATCACTTAAGAACAAGTGGGTTTACAAGTTAAAGACGGAGGAAACTAGTTCAAAGCCTCGGTTTAGGGCGCGACTAGTTGTGAAGGGCTTCAACCAAAAGAAAGGTGTTGACTTTGAAGAAATTTTCTCTCCCGTGGTGAAGATGTCTTCTATCCGAGTTGTGCTTGGGTTGGCTGCAAGTTTGGACTTAGAAGTTGAACAACTCGATGTGAAGACGGCGTTTCTTCATGGTGACTTAGAGGAAGAGATATACATGGATCAGCCGGAAGGGTTCGAGGTTAAGGGCAAAGAAGATCTTGTATGCAGATTAAGAAAGAGCCTATATGGGTTGAAGCAAGCACCAAGGCAATGGTACAAGAAATTTGACTCATTCATGGTCAAAAACGGGTATGCAAGAACTACCTCCGATCATTGTGTGTTTGTGAAATACTTTGCTGAAAATGATTTCATCATTCTCTTGCTTTACGTGGACGACATGTTGATCGTGGGTCGGAATGTTGGAGAGATTGATAGATTGAAAAAGGAGTTGAGTAAATCCTTTGCCATGAAGGACCTAGGACCGGCGAAACAAATTCTAGGGATGAGAATCTCTAGGGATCGGAGGAATGAAAAAATTTGGTTGTCTCAAGAAAGGTATATTGAAAGAGTTCTTGAGCGGTTCAACATGAGCAAGGCTAAGGCGGTTAGTACTCCACTTGGAGGACATTTCATATTGAGTTCGAAGCATTGTCCTACAAGTGAGGAAGAGAAAGAAGCAATGAAGAATGTGCCTTATGCATCAGCTGTTGGGAGCTTGATGTATGCTATGGTCTGCACAAGACCGGATATTGCTCATGCAGTTGGGATTGTCAGTCGGTTTCTTTCCAATCCGGGGAAAGAACATTGGACAGCAGTGAAGTGGATTCTTCGCTACTTGAGAGGTACTTCTAGAGTGTGCCTATGCTTTGGTAATGGCAAGACCATACTTGATGGATATACCGATGCTAATATGGCAGGTGATGTGGACTCTAGAAAGTCGACTTCTGGATACATGATGACTTTTGCAGGTGCTGCAGTTTCATGGCAATCTAAACTGCAAAAATGTGTTGCATTATCAACAACAGAAGCCGAGTACATAGCTGTGACAGAAGCTTGCAAAGAGATGCTATGGTTGAAGAAGTTTCTTCAAGAGTTGGGCATAAAGCAAGAGTGGTATGTGCTCTATTGTGACAGTCAAAGTGCAATTCATCTTTGCAAGAATCCTACTCTCCACTCAAGGTCGAAGCACATAGATGTTCGATATCATTGGATTCGTGATGTTTTGGAAGCGAAGTTGTTGGAGCTCAACAAAGTGCATACGGATGACAATGGTTCGGACATGATGACTAAGTCTCTACCAAGTGGAAAACATATCTTCTGTCGAGATGAAGCAGGTTTGGTGCTACCCCCCATATGAGCTGGAGGGGGAGATTTGTTGGGTTGGTCCAACTCATATGGTGGTTGGATTAACCGATTTGAGTTTGGGTTTTTGGTTGGTTTCTAGAAGATCCTCTATTTTCAAAATAGAGAGTTGTTGTCTACTAAAAGGTAAAAAGAGTGGACAGCCTTTCATTTGTAGAGAGAGAATCAGAAAAGAGAAGAGATAAGGAAAAAGAGAGAAGAGAGGAAGAGCTGCAGTTTTTCGTTTCTGCAGCAGGGCAGCCTGTTCAAGTGAGTATTATGGAAGATTGAACCGTTGGATCGTCCTGAAATTTGGACAGTGGGTTCGTAATTGTCTGGGCTTCATTCTGACCGAAGGGATCGTCATTCTGAGGTCTAGTTCGTCGGGAATCTCTGGTGGACAGAAGGTGTACGAATCTGTTTTTGGGTATCTCTCAACCTCTCTTTGTCTTGCTCTTGTTCTTGTTATCCACCATGTTGGTGAGAGCTATTGTGGTTGATTGTTGATCCAAGAAGGGTGTTCTTGAGGTGTTTGTAATCCTCTAGCTAGTCTAGAGAGGACTTGTAATCCCACCAAAGTCTAGTGGAGTTGTGGCTTGGACAAAGGTCCCGTGGTTTTTCCCGATTTGGGTTTTCCACGTAAAAATCGTGTGTCTTGTGCATTCTATTCTTGCTTGTGGTTGCTGCCCGGTTTCTCAACAAAACTTTAATTAATTAAAATAGTTTATCAAATAAAAGACATAAACATTCCGCCAACGCCAACTAACGGATCCCAACGAAAGCTAGTTGTATTTAGACACCGTAGAGGAACTCATTTTGTTTGTATAGATGATGACGAAATAAGCATTCTCCTACGAAACAAGGACTCCTCACAGAGGGAAGATACCTCCCGCAATCTCATTCTCCAGATGCAGTGTCCTGTCTCAGTTTGGCGATGAGATTTGGGAACCCTAATTTGTCCGCCGGCGACCAAGGAGGTATAAAAGGAGAGGTTAAGCCATGTTAATTCCTCACCCTACACACACCAAACAAAAAGCAGCTAATAGGGTCATTTGGGAGGAGGAGAGTGTACATAAAAAAGCTCAAAACAGAAAGAAACAGAGAGTGAAGCACAAAAAAGAAGAAGAAGGAAAACATGGATTCCGGATCAAAATTGATGGCGGTGTCAGCTTTCCTGCTCCTGACCATTTCGAGCTTCCTTGTCGTTGACGCGAGACTTGCAGATACGAGCATTATCAGGGGACCGGATTGTATCGGCAAGTCGGAGGATCAAGAGTACAACAGCAAAGTGGCTCGTCTCGTCGATATATTCGTCGACGAGACAAAAAATGTGCAGCGCGGACATCACAGCGACTACAGTTACGTTCACAGCTACCCGAATCGTGACAACGGGTCGGTCATCGGAGGCGCTACCTGTGACAGGCACCTTTGGAAGCTGGATTGTTGGGCATGTCTGGTCACCGCTAAGAACAAACTCAACACCAATTGCGAGCATACCCTTGACGCCAGGCTCGAATTGGCAGATTGTTCCATATGGTACAAAATGATACAATAACTTCACTTATTAGTGTTTCTGGATATATTTGTATATATGTGCGCCTCTCCTTCCCTACTCTTGTTGGTCTGTATTGTTATTTGTTTTTATCCCTTTTGCTGCTTTGGTTGTGTTTCGGTCTATCTTTATCTTATTTTACTTTCAGCACTCAATAAGGTATTATAAATACTCGTTCGTGCCGTATATGTATTTTTCCAATTGATAACTAAAGGAAATCTTTCATGATATGATTTTTTCCCTATAAATTTTCATTTCAACCGAAGCCTAAATAGTCTATGTATTCGGATTACGAGAATAAAAAAAATGATCAAAAAATTTGATGATCACTCAATACCTATAAGAAAACCAATAAAAAATGGCTTAAGTTAACAATTGTGTAATAGGGATTGGGAAACCTTGGATTACCGTTAAGTGCATCCTTGTTCTCATTATCTCATCATCATAATAGATTACTAGCTTATCATCCGGCCAATTGGTCGGATTACTGTATGTTACCCACTTGTGGAATGGGAGAGAAAGTAAGTGAGAGTGAAGGGATTGAGATTCCACTTGATTAGGACCGACCCACTAATCCGATTCTTCCCGACCCGCCCCAACCTAAAGGGTCAGAAAGAGTCAATAAGAAAATACGAACGGGGAGGATTAGTCATATATCTTGACTCTTTAGAAGTGGGCCAAACAGGATCAAGGTTGGGTGAGCTCAATTTTTAGCACTAAGCAGAGTTTTGGGTTGAATAACTTTACTTAGACCTAGAAATTGGTGCTGGGCATCCCTCCCCGTTGTCGGTCTGAATTCTAATGATGGCTTCATTCCTTGCACCAGCCATATCAGTGAGTTGTCATCTCGAGCATGATTTGCCTATGTACAAATTATAAAATTAGAGTATGAAACTGAATTCAAAGAAAAGGAAAAGAGAATTCTATTGCATGCCAATAAATACACACATAATAGTTGAAGCTAAGTGAAAGTCATTACTCGCACATCAATTCTCAAAAATTACAGACTAAACAATGGCTAGAATGGCACTAAAACTACCAAGAATCATGGATGAAACAACTTGTCAAATTAAATAATCCTTATACTGAAACTACCTTCTAACTTGAAATAAGACATGATCACAGTTCATAGCTCTCTTCTCACTATGAATTGGTTGCAGCTCGTCCTTATCACTGCCTCCCAAGCTCAATTCAAACAGAATAGAGACCGTTATGTAAGATAACCATATCCTTACTGATCATAATTCCTTTCTTCACTCCATTTTTGTCGGAGAAAAGAGTTATCCCCCTCTCCTGCATTTCCCTTTTCCCCCTCTCTTCTCCCTCTTCTTCACAACCGATCCCTAAACCAGCAACAACAATACAAAAATAGCCTTCGCCTCTGCCATCTCCATCTACTGAACGCGTTGGTGGCAAGACAGGACTGCAGAAGCAAAATTTTCTAAAATCAAACTAAATTTTTTGAAGGAGACTCAACCACGAAAAAAGAGTAAAGCAACAATGCTAATAGTTCAGATGGTTGATTTTGATGTTATACGTTGCTTTTGTTCTGGTCTCCAGTATATCAAATGCAACAAAGATGTTTCCAGTTTCCTCCAATCATCTTTAGTGCACGATTTAGAAGCAAGTCCTCCGGTTTGTGTCAAACGGAAACATTCATGGGTTCTTAACTCCCCTGTTAGTGTAAATGCAGCAACATCAAAGAAGTTTGACAACACAGTAAGCACACAGGCAAAATGATACAATGCAGTAGGTGATATGTGTCTCGAAGGTTTTGAGTTACTAAAGTTCATGTTAAAAATAAACATGAATTAAAATGGATTATTCTATTAAGCAAACATCCCCTCTAATCATACAAAGATCAGATATCCAATTCACAAACAATTAAGCCATAAAAAATCATCACACATCCACCACCTTTGATTGCCTAAATTTGGTTTTTCGCAAAGTTATGGACTCTTAAGGGTAACGTTCATGGGTAGTCTGTTTCATAACTCTAGAGAGCACAGTAAGCAGCCACCAGCCAGACACAGTGCGGTGGGCGAATATGATTCTCAATTCACAATTTCTCACCACCGAAAGTAAGAACAGACCATAATAAGCGTAGAGTTCATGGGTGGTCTGTTTCATAGCACTACTACACAATTTGTTAAAAAGAAAGAAAAGTATTTAGCATCACGGCGGAACAACTTTTACAGGCCAACAACGACAACGTGCTGCAACTACCAGAACTGGTATCACAACTCATAGGGAAAATCAAAAGATTTGCTCTCAAATTAAGTAGTTACAACATCGAGCAATCGTCAAGTGCACATACACCATCACAAAAGTCACGGAACCTGATTCACAAAGCATTCAAACATTTGAGGATATTTATGCAAAGGTACAACTTATATGTCTTTTTTCCAAACCATTTCCATCAACATGCTAATAAATTTGCAATGCATAAAACAAACGGGCCAAAACTTGAAATTCAGCCTGTTTGACCGACTCATGCCAAATTCTAATTATTCTTTACTTTTAAATTTTCTATTTGAAAATAAAAAATAGTGAAAGAAAAGAGACGACTACAATTCGCCATTTTCACATCACTTATTCGGGAATAAAACCATAGAAATTCAAAAGGAACTGAAAATGTTTAGGATCATTTTAATGTTTAAAATAACCAAATTGATCTTTATGTTTAATTTTTTACTAACAAATACCAAACGATTCCCTATAAAATACACTATAATTTGATCATTATGATATCAAATAATTATAAAATACATATTTGAAATGATAAAAATTGGACTAATTGGGTTGGTCGAGGTTGAACCATTGAATAACTTTAAAATACATTATATTTTAGCCACTAAGATCTAAAATAATAGCATAATATATATTATGCCAGAGAAAATAGCTTGTTTTAGAATGACAAACCAATGATGTTCATTTGTTTTACTTGATGGCCAAATCCCATGTAAGTCAGACCCATTCAACTCTTTTATTTTATGGTTAGCGGTTAGCCCATTAGATACCATGCATTAGTTTATTGTTAAATTTTTTATTTTTAACAATAAAAAGGAGTATTATTTTTGCCTTTTCATATATATTTTATCACCACGGAGAAATAAAAGGGCTTAAAGAAAAAAAATTGACACTCCTAGACCCGTTTAAATTCGCATGTGTACGGTAAGTTGGCCCATTCCACAGAGGAAAGAGAAAAAAAATTTGACACTCCCTATTCTACCCTTCCTACAAACGCTCCTGGAGCAAGGAATTTGAAATGAGGGAAGAGTTTTTTCCTCCCTGCTATTATATGTTTTTAATATAAAAAGATACAACAAATGTACTTAGTGTGATTGGTTATTATCCTTGCTTTTCTTTAAAATGATAATGGTTTGAATCCCAGTACGTGTCTTTTTAATGAATAAAAAAAAGTAATTGTGAAGACCAAAATGTCCTTCCTACAAACGCTCTAAGCGTCCGAAATTTGAAATGGTGTTTGGGTTTTTGGCTACCCGCTTTTATAAAAGGTATAGATATAGAGATGTAGAGATAGAAGGGGCGTCGCGTCACTGCATCAGGCTGAGTTTTTGCGAGGGTACACTATTCATTGTTCTTCTAACCACGAAATCTGCCTGGCCCGTCATCCACTGAACGGCTACGGCCCATATCTCCTCTCTCCCTGGATCGGTTCTTTTACAATTATGTGGAAACGACCACCCCAAGCTCAGAGCAAAGCTGGCCCAATCATCATTCGATAGCAAGCATATATCAGCCCAACCCAATTTCTTCAGTTCCCATCTTAATCAATAAGGTATTTAAATGTTGACGGCACTTTTGGTCAGGACTCAGGAGGTGCTGAAAGCTTTTTATTTTTACAGTAATTTTTATTTTATAAATTTTTTGAACAAACCACTTTTAATTTTGTTTTCCTAATAAGATCAATCTTGGTATATTTTGTAATTTTTTTACTAACAACACATATCATGAGTTTTCACAACATATATTAACAATATGCCTTAAGTATATTCATA